AATACCTCATGAAATGTATTTTGTCATCTGATGTAATAGTTCGTATCACATAATGTATCAGGTCCTCTACCCCATGAGTTTCCCTCTCCTGTGAGACAGTGCTACTTGATAAATTAGTTACAGGGACCAGGCAGCTGCTTATAGGAGAGAACAGAACCAAAATGCTTGGTAGAATGATGTGATGGAAGAAAGACTTTCCTATTTTCTTGGACAAGACTGTGTGAGAGCAGTATGTGCTGAAATCTGTTGGAAGTTTTTGATCTGGAAATCAAATGCTGAGAAAATCTTTATTCCATTCTTGCTCCAATTTCTCTGAAGGAACACACAGTAGGTAGGAGATAGAAATGTTTCTACCTGATCAAAGGTTATGCCAATTAATAGTTTTGCCTTCTAATAGGATATTGCTTTATGGACTAGAAGCATTTTTGGTAATTTTTTTCCCTTGCTTACTTGGGATTTAGAGAAAGAAGGGCAGTTATACTGAGCTCTTGATAGTTCATAATTGAAGTATTTTCTTCCTCCAGACTCTGGGTGCAAAGACAATTTGTAGCACGTGAGGTTAAATGAATCTTTTGTGTCTCCCATTGATTATTTTCTCTATCAGCACAGGGGATCTCCTCTTGAATGTGATATGTATGGTCTGTTATTACAAAGATGGAAATTATGCTACTGAATTTTTTCCTGAAGTGCAATGTTTTCTTAGTCTGTAATGATCTAGGACTTTGATTGATCTGAGTATATCTAGCCCATCACACCTTTCCTTAATATTACAGACTTTTTTTCTTTCACTAGTTGTAACTGTGGTGTTCATGCTCTACACCAATCAAGGAATTAAATTTGATTTTAACTTCTCAATTGATTTTACCAATTTCTTTTCGCAAATGAACATGAGTGGTAAGAAGACTTATCCAGAATCCTTTTTGATCAAATGTATTAGTATCTTAGTCCTCTTTCAAGATAACTATCGAATTAGTGCCACTTAACTGGAAACAGATGCTATGCAATTATTGCCTTTCACATCAAAGTAAAGGATTTCACCAATTCTTGTTAAAAATGGATCAGTTTGGAGTAACTGTGAATGCTTGGCTTTCTGCTACTGTGCAGATGTCTTCCAATTCCAACTTGACAATTAAAAACTAGAGTGGTCATACGATAACATGAGTAGCATATTTTTGGGAAGGGGCTCTCAAAATGGTGTCTTGGCTGAATATTTGTGAATTATTTAAAAAATAAATTTTTGGTGTTTTTATTAATGATTGGCTAAAATTGTTCTTGCATAAAAATTTGGAGGATTGTGTTAAAATTAATGACGTTTACTAAAACTGTACCTTAGGAGAAAATGAGATATATGTTAAAGATATACACACTGGCAAAGTACTGCTCCCTAGTTTCATAATACAAAAAAAAATATATCATCTTGCCATAAAAAGGTTATATTAAACTTAATGAAATTTTGACTTCTCAGAAAGTGTGACTGTTTTCTACTCATAAGATTTTTCCCTGAAAGAAAGTTAGTAGTTGCAGCAAAATTTGAACACTGTTTTCAGTTGGTGAAGCTCATATCCCAGTTTTTAAGTTCTTTTCTCTGTTTCATTGTCGATAATTACTGGCTCTGCAAAAACTTACTGGAGAATTACTAACTGCAATCTGTTTTCTGCTTCAGCAAATAACTTTCTGCTCACATGAAAAATGGACTTAATGCAAAAGTTTTCTGGACCTGTTTCAGAGTCTGTTTGGACTTCTTTCTAAAAATTATCTTTTAGAAGTCATAAATTAAATATCTACAACTTTTTCAATTGATTTACTTAAACAAGTTGAAGACCGAGTGGGCAATCTTTTTTCACTTACATGAAATGCTTTGTCTTACCTTAAATTAAATTAATTAGGCTAAGCCGGATAAATCCAACCTTAATGTAAATTCAAGCAGGTTTTTATTTTAACTTTTTGTTTCCTTTTCAAAAACTGCTTGTTTGCTAAAGTAGCTTTGAAAATAGACATAGTGCATGATTCTGCTTGCTTTCCTTTTAGTCTTCAGTTTCTCTGCAATATTTCTCTGCTATGCGACGGAACACGATTCAGGATGGGAACAGTTCCGGGCATGGAGAAAAGCATGCAGCAATTGGCAGGACTTTCATATGGACATTGCTGTTATTGTGTGGTTTCATTGTATTCATGCTGCGCGGTGCACAACTTCACATGCCCAGGCCTGCCATAATTTTGCCTGCTCCCTGCTTCCCCCACTCCTCCCCCTTTTGCCTGTACCCTATTCTGATTTGCTCCCCCGTTTGTCTGTCTGATAGCCCACCCTATGTTCTGCCCCTTTTTCCCTGGCGGGACGGTTAAGAATCGGGTGCACGCCTGAATAAACAAGTCTGCTTGCACCCTTCCTAGTGTCCTGTCTCCCCTTTGGACCGCGACACTGCTGCTTTAAAAAATACCCTTTGATTAGTTCCAATACTTCTGCTTTTCTGGTGTCCTGCATGTTTTTACCAGTTTTTACTCTTCCTTCTCTCTGCGTCTCCTTTTTGGTTTTTCTTTTGGCTTTCATGGTGCTTGCAGTTCCACACTTGAATTGTTTGTCCTTTCAACTTTCCCTGAAAATCCTTTGCTTTTGAGTTATCTTTCTGTCCCTTTTAATAGGATTCTCAGAACTATAAACAACTGTGTTGTTCTTATTGTTAGTTGACAAGAAAGCTGAATTGTTGCACTCATCAGGAAACTCTCTCTACATGTACATAGCCAAACACTCACAAAACAACAACAAAAAAGACAGGTTTCTTTTGTTTTGCACTTTCTGTTAGACCTTCACTAAAATACCTTTTTTTCCCTTCTTCACTAAAGATCCTTGGATAACATCCTAAATGCTTCCTGAATATTTGATGCATTTTTCATTTATTTCCACTCATAATGGATTTTATTGTGGTTCTGACTTGTTTGGGTTATGCAAATTTTCTTCTTATTAATGTTTTAGAGCATATTACAATGGAGATGAATCCCAGTTTCTGTAAAAATTACCCTTTGACTCAGAATACTTGTATACAGATTTACATTATGGGTAGAGCAGTACAACAGTTTAGAACAATGCAGTAAAGGTTTTAATAAAATGGGAGAAAACTGAAAGACAGTGAAAATCTGTCATTGTGAAGTGTATCAATGTGAGGAGTTTTAGAAGATATAGAGGAAAAGAAGAAATAAGATGAATTATTGTATATTGGAGAAAATCAATTGGAAAACAAAGCAGCTGAATAGCACAAATATTTAAGCCTTTGCAAATGAAGTAACGTGACATTATATGGCATAAGTTATTTTTTGTAATGTAGCTCCTAATATAAACTGTACTTAACAGAATGAAAACAAACAATTCAATGATGCATATTGTTGAGGAATACATGCACACACATATATATATATATATATATATGAAGTCTTAATTAATTTATTCTTAGTTCTGCTTTTCATCAGGAAGTTTTTCAAACAGCTCTATGACCTGAGGAAAAAGCGTTAAAATGAAGCAGATAAAATGATGTCCACAAAATAGTGATGAAAAGGGTGGAGTTGAACCAAATGAACTGGAAAATGCGTTCTAGGCAGAACAGGAACCTTTATTACAATAAACATGTACCTACCTCTGGTGTTGTAGATAATAGGAAGTTGCAACAGACCTTGCACTACTCACCTCCAGGTGATGTTGGAGTAGTCATCTTTGTACCCTGACAAGAGATTTCTTATATTATGAAAATATGGATCTGCAATAATTGATAAGCTTCCAGGTAGAGGCTGCCTGTTTCTCTTTGCAGATAGTATAGCACTTGTGCTTTCCGAGGAGCATGCTTTAGTTGCAGAGGTATATCATAGTTCTGCTTACCAGGGCTAATAGGCAAATTGTAGTTATGCACAGTGGAATGTGCATTCCCCCTAATTGATTTTGTGAATTTGCAGGTGATGAAATCTCCAGACCTGCTGGCATCAGTTACTTGTTACAAGCTGCCACTTGAGAAATTGTATGATCCTCTTAGTAAGGTAATACAAGTCTGTCATAAAGGAGTTATAATTTTTTCATCCTACTATTCCTATTAAAGGAATGCCAACCCTACATGATTGTCAGTCTAATTTTGTCTAGTTCTTACTGTCATTTGCCTTGGGCTAATATTGTCCTTTAACTTTTACAATCAACTTCTCTTTTTTCTACTATGTTTCTCTCCCCTAGGTTTGGGTCTCCCCTAGAGTGCCTAAGGTACTTAATTAATATAACTTCCTTGTTTTCATATGATTCTAGGCTGAATGAAACAAGTTGATTCAATATTCTCTTATAAGGCTGTTTTTTTTCAATTGTCTGGATCTCCATCCCCACTTTCCTTCTTCCATTTGAAGATCCTTGCATCATCTGTGTAAAAGCATTGCCAGAACCAGTGTGTTTCAATGAAACATCAAAACATGGTAAAACACATTACTAAGACATCCTCATGTGAAAGGACTCCATCAGTACAAGAGAAGGAAGTTTTCCAATCCTTCTGATGGAAAATCAACTTTGAATTGCTCAACTGTTTTTTACATTTGATGCACAAACTCTTCATATATTTTGTAGGCATTTGCCACCTCCCTCTGAGCAAAGAGAGATCTTTATGAATGTTGGTCGTTTAGTAATTCTACTCTGTTTCCGTATTATTTTCTTATCTAATGTATTTTTAAACCACTGGGCAATAAATACGATCAGTAAGTTAATGATATACAGTTGACTTGCATAACATGTGCCAAATTTTTTTAGTCATAAAACAATGTTATAATTCAGTTAAATATTATCCCAAGACACACAAGGTTGAAAGTCACTGCTTAAGCAGAAATCATATTTCCCTTAAGCTGCAGATTCAGAAAGTGAGGTACTAAAAACATCATTCAGAGAGATGTGTGTAAATACAGCTTGGTCAAAGACACTTCATGACCAATACTAGACAGTTAAAGTAATTATTTTCCAAGTGAAAACTTGGGTAGTAATATAGCCCATGAATAGACTCACATACTTCTGTGTGTTATATTACTTTGCTCTGGTAAATACTCAGTCATCCATAGGAAATGGATGCCAACGTGGTGACGGCTCCTCTGCTCCACCTGGAGAAATGTGCATTTTCACCAACCAGTATGGAGAGAGTAGTGAGGAGAAACAAGGTAAGTCTGAGTGGACTTCAGCATAAGTGTGATAGCTTGATAACTGAATGTGTCAGCAGAGAGAAGTAGGGTGGATTTTTTTATGTTTCAAAAATATTTGGGAATTCTTTTTTGTTTGGTTGGTTGGGGTTTTTTTTACCCTCTTCTTCATTAAATTTTTGAAGAAAGTTTCTTCCGGCTTCAATTTGATTTTTCCTGCTTAATTTTCAACATCTGTAAAGTGCAAGTCTCTCATAAATCTTCATACGGATATTTATAGCAAAGCGTTTCCTCATCCAAATTCAATGGAGATTCAGCAAGTAATACCTTTCTCCTTAAATTGCAATAGACTTGTTTGATAGAATTCAGATTTAATCCAAAATACCTAGACCGAGGTACAGGCAACAACAGTTTTTTTCTTTTTTTTTTTCTTTTTTTTTTAAAGTCTAGGTAAGGGTGGAAATTTTCTTGAATTCAGGAACTGATTATCCTAGCTTAATCTTTGTCACATTCAGAGGTTACAAAAACAGTTGCTGCTGTTTCCTGTAAAGAATTGATCAAAGCAGTGAGAGTGCATTTTAACTACTGCTATCCAAGTAAATTAGCATCAGAATTCTAGTATTTCCAGAATACTGTACTAAAATGATGCTGCAAATAATTTTATACAATGCATCAATTCAGGTTTCTCCTGTGACAAGAGTATTTTTGAAACCAATCTATGCAAAGTATTTCATGAATTTAATTTACAGTCTGGATGGATAAGATAGTCCTTCTCCTTGAAGATTCTGGTTCTGGAGTCCAAAGAGCTTAAATTTATCAAAAATTATAATTCTTCCTAAAAAGCCTACATGAGTTCATCTACTCACTGTGCAACAAAGGAATCATATTTGTGGGGATTTTAAGATTTTGCTTTAAGTATGAAATAGATTGTCCATGGAGGAGCCTGTGTCTTTCTGTGCACTCTGAAAAATGCTAATTAGATCATGTCAGCTACCACTGAATGCAGCTGAAATCTGTGAGAAAGAGCAGTAAATTAAATCCAGATTCTTCAAATTACAATTGTGTGTTCACCTACAACAAGTTTTTCTTCCTCCAGTAGGACTCCCTGTTTTATCCAAATAGTATGTGGAGGTCTGTTTGGGACAGGAGTCTAGAATCAACTCCAGGATAATCGATTTTTTATTTCTCTGCAAATAAGACAATTGTTAAGATTGTATTGGATATCAATTCCTTTTTGTGTTAGTTTATTGTGCTGTACAAAAATGTATTAAATGGCAATGGCTGGAAATTATGTCTGTTGAATTCCCTGACACATCTAACACGTCTCAGGCTAGCGTATTTTTTTATTATTTGCACAAGAGGTGGTTATGCTAAGTTTCTCTGCATAGCTTTGAAATCCTCATTTTGCTTGGTTTCCCTGGAAAGGGCATTTCCTCCAGGCAGCACTTTCTGTTATGATTGTAGAATATAGAACAAGAGATGCATTCTTCCATTAATTTTTACAGCAGCTTTTTGCACCTGTTTGTTGAGGGAATACTGCTATAGATAAATGCTTATATGAAAATAAAGAATTAAAGGTTGTTCCAAAGACTGATTTAGAAAAAATGAGCATATGGACTCTGTAAAAGATTGAAATATTAAATTATGTTGTATTTTAAGAGCACTGAGGAAAAGGTGTAGAACTAGGCTTTGAGAGACAGGCTGTGTGCTGGAACTGCTTGGATTATTCTCTGGGTTACTCCAGGAGATAAGTCAGCTGTCAAATATAAAGATATAGATCAGCCTGTATCAAATTGAAGATTCATCCTGCTGCCACTTTCTTCTGATTTGAGATTATTGCAAAACTATTTTTCCACTTAGGTTTCAGCTCCTGATCTTATGTTGATGACAGGTTCCTGCTCTTTTCTCTGGGCTCTATTCAGGTTTAAGTCAGTATCTGCAGTGAGAATATATAAAAGATGGAATTTCAGTTTTTATTGTTAATTTGGTCTTCATATTGCAAAAATACATTGGAGGAATGAAAACTAACTACTCTTAAAAATGTTTTGCTCACAGAATATCACAAGCTGAGATATTATACACATGCACACTTGAAATAGAACCTTAAACCACAGTCTTTTCCTCTGAGACTTGGAATTTTTCCTTAGAGGTTATTTTAAATATTTGGTTTTTTCACAGGAAACTCTGCAGAAATTATCTAGAACATCCCACATATTCCTTCCTTCTGGACTTTTCCTCTCTAAGCAGTGACTTTACATTTTTCAGTCAAACTTCCAGCAAATTTACTTTGGTTTGCTTCTTAAGTTGTATTTTCTGTGAAAATGAATACTGCTTTGGAAAATAATAATGAATGATCAAGGATTTTTTTTTTAATTAAAAAAGGTAGCATTTCTGTTATTTGTGAATATTGCTTTGCAATTGTTTTTTCAGCTATAATAAAATTCCTGAGGAAATATGGAATATGATTTGGTTCATTTCGTGCAATGTGAAGTAGATATGCTTCAGCAGTGATTGTGGTTTTGACGAACAACTGACACGCTTTTCAACCACATAAAGAGCTAAGGAATTAAAGCAGCAATAAAAAGTTTGTTGATGAATCAGCCAATCTGCACATTAACTTGAGTCTGGAATACTTACATGAATTATTTCTGTTTTCCCCTCTCTTACCTTGTGATTTAATTGTTGCAGTAAACTGATGTGAATATGAGAACCATGAAATTGAACATCGTAATGTGACTATAAATGCTGCAGTGGTAACTTTATTTAAAACTATTGGTGAACTATGATAATATAGAATAAGCCAAAAGCATTTACAGGGGCTGCAGCAAGAACCAATCTGAGAGGGTGTGCTAAGGCATTGTAGCTCCTGTCTAACCAGAATCACAATTAGAAGGCAGGGTCTTAACTCATAAGGATAAGGAGGGTGAAAGTTTCCACTTAGCACATGAAATCTGGAGACAGTGCCATCTATCAGCCGTTCTGTTCGGGGTGAAGCTGCAATAAGTTTGCTCTTCACAGATGCATCTGCTTACGCTTTTTTAAAAAATTAAATCTTTCCACGACTACAATAAATGGTTCAAGGAATGGGTCTGTCCAACCTGTCAGGCACATGCAAGCTCTTTCATTCAGCTTGGATATGATGCATAAAGGACCCACGCAGAAACAAACCTCTGTCCCTCCATCTCAGTAAGCAATTATTTATCTGGTCGCATAGTCTCCTCAGTTTTCCTGAATGAACTGGTACAACAGACTGGGATCTGTGCTAGGAAGACATGTCCTGCCTCCAGGAAGACATGTCCTGCCTCCCTTTTCTAACCTATGCTGCCCTACAGAGGAATGTGGAAGGGGGAAAAATGATCCATCTTTACCACATTGCTACGTGCACTGCAAGAAATAAGGCAGAGGAAAGGCAAGTGGGGATACTGTGTCACTCTGAGGACTCATTTCAGCTCTTCTCTAAATGACGTGGTTTCTAATTTAATACAGCAACTTTCTAAAGACTATGAGCACTGGCAAACTTTGGAGTATGTCATATGATGAGTCTCACCTTTCTTTTATTAGTGGAATAGAAAAAAAAATAATTTTGCTGTCTGATTATTTCCTGGTGTTAAGTCTTTGTTTTTCTATGCAAGAACCCTGGACAAACAGAGGACATACCGAAATTCTTCATATGATAACTGCAGTGTATTTTAAAAATAGCCTCTGCATATAAACTATGCTAGCTTGGAGAATTTCCTGCAAATAAGTAGCTGCACACATATATGTGAAGAAAAAAGTGTATGTTACAGTAATATAATATAAAGAGACTAGTTTGGATTTGGTTTGGTGAAAGAAGGGCTTGGTGGTCTGTTTTGTTTTTTTTCAGTGTTTCTTCTCTCTCATCTCACTTCCACTGCCCTGTTTCTCCTTTTTCATGATTTAAAAATTCTGGGGTTTCTTACTTTTTTACAGGAGTCTCTTTGGAATTTTTCTGTGTGCTAATTAGACAGCAGGTGATGGTGAAAACATATCCTTTTGCTTCTGTATTTGAGCTTTTAATTTTTTGTTTGTTTGCTTCAATTCAGGTTTCTCCTGTGACAAGTGTGATTTTGAAACCAATCTATGCAGAGCTCTTCATGAATTTAATTTACAGCCTGGATGGATAAGAAGAAATGGTCAATCTGGCATAGGACCACCATACTCTGACCACAGCGGGAATGAGAGCAGTAAGAATCCTTATGTTCTTTGCAGAAACCATGGACTCTTACAAATTATGTAGTTTTCTGTTCTATTTACTTATTTTTGCTATTTTATTGATTGTTCAATTGTATTCTGCGAACTAAAAAAAAAAAAAAAAAAAAAAGGTAACAGAAACCCAATATCCATTTAGCAATTCTTGTTATCATAGAGGAGCAAGTAATCAGTTACAAGGCTAGTGTTTATCTACCTGAGTAATCTTTACCTGTTTTGGAGATATGAGGAGATAAAGCCAGTCTTTATGATTGCAAAGCTTAGAAATGTTAAGATGTATTTTCAGTTTTTCTTGGATTGGTGAATGCCTGGAATGTGTGGTTCTATTATCTATGGCTAATGCTCCAAATGTTTTGAGAGAAGATGGTTTTGTGTCTGGGGACAGGGTAAACTTTGATGGCCTGTTTGAGCCAGTTTTTTTTCTAGATCTTATTCCAATTCCATTTTGCCTCGAAGACTGTCTCTCAACTAATTCCTTTTCTCTGTCCTCAAACAAAATATATCCCTTATACTTTTCCTATTGCCAGGTTAATCCTGCTTTCTGAAACCTGTCTTCTTCCTTCTGTTATACAATGATTTTCTTCATAACTTTTTAGCTAAGTCAAACATTTTCCTGCAAGTTCTTATTTCACAGTGGACAATTCTCATGATGCTTTGTAATTAGGAAACTTTATACATGTGATATGCTTTTTAACAACTTCAGGTTTTACTTGAGTGTAGCACACAAGCACATCCTGCTCTGTACATTTTGCTTCTGAAAATAAGGCTACTCTTAAATAAATATTGATTTAAACTGATGTTGGCAAAAAAATTTGAGCAACTAACAAATATTTTCATAAGTGCAAGCTTTATTCCAAGTATGTAAGTTGTGAAATAATTTATCTTTAAAATAATAACAGCTCTTCTCATCAAGAAGCACAATTAAAAAAATAAAGGTACAAAAGTACCAGGGAATACAAATACAGCAAACTCTTGGCTAGAATCAAAATTGGTTAACCAGGCAACAGTCTTGCTCTAGTTGAAGTTTCTAGTGCATGATTGGTAGCACACACCACATCACGATGTAGCGAAGACCGGAAAGATACTCTTGGTTATAACCATAAAAAAGGTTACCTTATCTTGCAAAGAACTGGTGAGGAGCAGAAAATTTAACTTATGTAGACAGCAAAAACCAACAAAATATTGAGAATCATCAACCTGAAGGGTTTGTTACAGACAAAGCAAACTGCTTAGTCACTTGAACAGTTCAGTCACATTTACTTGTTTTAGGCACTCAGTGGCTGTTGTATCTTCCATGTCTGAATTGTGTGGTAGCCATGTTAATCTAAGTTATTTTATTCAGGTAAAAGAAAGCTCAAATACTTGTATCTTTTTGGCTTTCGAGAGGCTGCACACTCAGATATGTGAAGTGAATGACTAAGGAGATTTAAATGCATTTAGTTAATTTGTTTCTCTACCTAGAGAATGTCTAAACTGTACTTTCATTGCCTGACTGCTGGTGCTAATCACCTAGGAAGTAATTATATTCTTATGGCAGTTAGTTGAGTTTTTCCATGGCTGGCTACTCAAGAGATTATGTAATCAGTTTTATGTTGGTTCCTGCTTAAAACCTGGAAATGATTCTGTGTGGTGACAACTGAGCAGAGTGTGCTCTATGGCAGAGTGTTAAAGAGAAGAGTTCCTGACATCGGAATAATACATGCACGTTAGCTGAAGAGCAAAGATCGCTTGGTAAATGTAAATCCTTTGAAGATTTATATAATAATTTACTAGAACCCAACATGTTTTTTTAGTGCTGTCTCTCATGATTCTTTCTTTTATCACTGAAAAGGTAGTTGTACAGACCAGTGACAACTGTTTAAAAAAAAAAAAGGAAAACAAAACCAAAATAAGACACAACTTGTTTTTAATAAATGAAATTCTTATCTATGCAGAAGTCATAGAATCATAGAATCATAGAATAGATTGGGTTGGAAAAGACCTCCAAGATCATCAAGTCCAACCCCTGATCCAACTCCAATTACTATATCATGGCACTAAGGGCCACGTCCAATCTCTTTTTAAAAACCTCCAGGGATGGTGAATCCACCACCTCTCTGGGTAGGCCGTTCCAATGCCTGATAACCCTCTCTGTAAAGAATTTCTTCCTAACATCTAACCTAAACCTCCCCTGGTAGAGCTTGAGCCCATGCCCCTTGTCCTCTTGTTGGTTGCCTGGGAGAAGAGACCAACCCCCACCTGGTTATAACCTCCCTTCAGGTAGTTGAAGAGAGTGATGAGGTCGCCTCTAAACCTTCTCTTCTCCAGACTAGACAACCCCAGCTCCCTCAGCCTCTCCTCATAGGACTTGTGCTCAAAATCTAATCTAAGGTCTAATGTGAAATCACTATTCAAAGAAGTTCTTAAAGTTAGTATTTCTCTCCCATTTGTGTAAAACTTAAAATTCCTGTGGCAGGTGAAAAATAAGTTTTTGAGTCTTAGATACATTCATCTTTAGGCAACTAAAAGAAAAATTTCAAAAATTTATGGAAGTTAACATCCAGTGGAACAGATTGGAGTCAGGGACAGGGCTCTGCAGAGGCACCAAGCCATCTGTTGTGGGTAGGAAGAATATCCTTGCAGCTGGCAGGCTCTGAAAGTGCTGCTTGAGCAGTCACAAAAGGTCTAAAACCTGGGTGGAACATGGCCATTGCTCTGGTAGCAGGCTACAGAATGCTTTTCTGTGGGGGATTCTCAGATGGCTCCAGCACTGAGCTGGGCTTGTGGTGCTTGGTCAGTGACTTTTCAGTTGCACACAAGGACAACAGGTCGAGACGGGTGATTTAATAAATGAAGTGATTAGGTGTTCTGACATTGATATCTGGTTTCTGTAATAATCTTTATTTTTAGGACTGTTTTTTATTCCTTGTGTCCCACTTGGCTTTCTTCCTCCTTCATCTTCCTCCTTTCATTAACATGTTAATGTCAGAGAATGACAGTTTACTTGACATTGCTTGGAGTTTGGGAAGGAGAAGAGAAGGGAAAGGAATAAAAGAAATTAAAAAGGAGATTGAGCATTTTTTTATTCTTTATTTTCCCTCTTGCATCCTTTAACATCTAACATCTCTGAAATCTTTGTGTTCAGAAAGAGCCAAAATTTGACTAGCTGTATTTATTATCCTAAAATAGGGTGGTTGCCTTCCATCTTTTATAAGATCTAAACCAGTATTGTCAGGAAGAGACATGGTCAGTCAAAAGGTATGGCAACAGCCATATTTTACTGACTCTTGTTAATCTGTTACACTTTCAAGGGAAGCAAGGACTTGTTTTATAAATGGAAAGGTAATGGTATTTTTAATGGTAGCTTTGAAATTCCCAAGAAAATTGTGTATATTGGGAATGTGTGCAGGGATACTACAACCTCCTCTTTGCAGTGAGGCAATTTTCTGAGCAGCCAAAAAACAGACACCTATCTGAACATATGCAGAACCTGTAAGATCACCACAGTCTCCTCTCCCATTTTCCACCATCTCCTTAAAGACTTGAACTGTCATGATAAATCTATGCTTAATCTGTATACTTAGTTTCAGCAGTTTGATGTTTAGGCATGGAATATGTAATCTATTCAATAACTGGGATTTAAATTCTTTGATCAGCTTGCTGAGACAGTCTCCCTTTGTCCCAAAATTTTGCACTTCAAAGTTGAGTATGCATGCAGCAAATGAAGCATTTTGGAACCTTATTTAAAATTTTAGCTGGAATACGGAACATAATAATAATAATAATAACAATAATAATGATAATGCTAATAATAATAATAATAATAATAAATAAACCATATCTAACATGAAAAAGTTTGGCACACAATGGCTGCAACTGTTAATATTTTCTGGGGAAAAAATCTAGATGGTTTTTTGGTTATTATTTTATACCTGTATGTGTGCCTCTTCTTGTTTTATTGTTTTTTAGGATTTTTTTCCCAAGCTTCTAAGTTTTCTATTTTTTTTCTTTTAATAGCTTATTTCCTCTCATTGTCCCCTGAAACGCAGTCCTCTTCTGCAACTTTAAGGACAAATGTTTTCCTTCCAACTGATGAAGAACATGTCTGCCAGGTATTTTGGCGCATAGTCTTTGTATTACGTTGTTTATCATAGTATTTCCCTGGAATAATCAGACCTTTTTTTGTCCTAGATTAGATTTCATTACTGGGTCAGTCAAATGAGTGGAACATTGATGGTGGGACTTCAAAAGCACTCTGAAGATACTGTTACAAGTATCTGGCAAGTTTCAAGAGAGCTACAAAGTCAGTGGAAAGCAAATACCATAACAATCAATAGTACCAAGAAGTTTGAGGTTAGTAAACTGAAGTTACTGTAAATGACACTTGTTAAATGGTTTCTGAATTGTGGGTCTTTTTTAATAGGTTAAAACTAAATATTTTGTAAATGGAAAGAAAGCATTATCATGAGGTAAATAAGAGAAATGCTTAATAGGATTTGGAAGATCCTATTTAGCATTAAAAAATATTACTTGTTCTTATCTCTTAGTGGTGTTAAAACTAATACCAAAATTTGCTTAAACTGTGCATGTGTCTTAAATGAAACAACTGGTCTCTTTGAGTCATAATTATCTACCAATCCTTAGAGGTGATATACTTGTGATCTTAACTTTCAATGCAGTATTCCCTTAGCCTCAGTCTAACTGTAATGATAAATTCAAGGTTTCATTTATATAAGAAACAGAATTTTATACTGTAAGATAGTTTTATAGGGGTGTTTTGCAATGCAAATGTCATAGGCTATTTAAATGTTTTTACATGTGCATTTACAAAAAACTTTAGTACAGTAAATGTAACTTAAGGCTATAATATTGTAGATGATGTATACTCACTGTTGTGCATAATACTGGTGAGAATGTGGGGAGTGGAGAAGAAAATGAGAGGGTTTTCCGTCTACACCAGTTACTGTGAAGTTGGTTAGCATACAAGCCTGAAGGCATGGAAGCATGAGCTCATTTCAATAAATCATATGAGTAACATAATTACTTAACTTCTATGGTGTGCTAAAGCATCCAACAGGATCTGAATTTTTGAAGTAATATTCACCTGCTCAAACCGTACTGTACCTAACTCAACACAAGTGTCAAAGTTGTTGTTCAATATATGAGCACTCCAGCTTTAAAAAGGCCTGTGTCAAACTTACTGCAGTAATCATTACAATTGGCTTAAGAAATACAGCTCAGCACCTCACCCAACCTAGCAAAATTTCTTCTTTACACATTTTTGCTCCAGTGAAAATTTGCAAGATGTCACTGTCATACAAGTGGATGCAATTCACTTGCCCTTTTGCACTTTTTCTTTTTGTATGACAAGATGTTCAGCCTACAGGGATGTCTGTGGAATTTTTCAAGATAAAAATGTTGATCATTAAAGTTTCTATGACAAATAATTATGAGAAAAAAATAATTCTTATTTGGGTGTACAAATCTTTTGGAAATAGGGTGCTTTAATATCTTTGCTATTTTGCAAACACACTTGAAGTGAGATTTTAATTAAAATTAATCTCTGAACTTCCAGTGGTTTTTTTTCCCCTCATTTTGATGTGAAATATTTAATAGTCAAATACTTAGTCTCTTCCTACTAAAAAAAAAAAAATATTGATTTTCTTTATGGAATAGGAGATTTTGCACTTAAAAATCTCTGTTTTAGGGAATTCTGAAATACAAAGACTGTCAGCGATTTAACTACTCAACACAAGGCAAGATCAGTATGGCTGGTTTGGCTGGGTTTTGGAGAACTGTATCGTGGTTTGGTCTCCTAAGCTACTTTTACTGTGTTCTACTGAGAACAAATTTCTGTCTCCCAGACTTCATAAAAAGAAATGGTTCTAGGCTTGGGGTTCACTGGTTAGTCTTTTTTAGACACAAGAGCAGGTGGAGGCATCTAACATTATTTTCTTCTGGAAGTGGGGAAGTTAAGGCTTACTGTTCATGAGTTTTGGGGAAACACAGGTCAATACAGGCTCGTGGTCTAGCAGAATATGAACTTGAAGCAGTCTCTGTACCAGCAAAGTGAGACAGCCCCTCTTTCACATTGTCTAAATCATTTTATCTTGCTTTAAAATAAAATGTGACTATGAAGCCCTAACTGCAAGCTATATTATACAGTTTAATGCATAGTATAAATTAAGTTATTAATAACTGAATTTTGACTTTGAAATGAAACATAACTCTGAAAAGGTTAAGTATTTGTCAAATCTTTGATACTAAAAATATTTATTGTATTTCTAATTATAAAATGGTTCACTACATTGTTTTAGAAACTTATCTAAAACTATGTAATGATAGAAAAAGGAAACATGAATACACTGTCCTTCAACTGATGATGTCATGAAAGTACACATTAACTATATGTATCATTGCAGCAGAATTCAAGAGTTCAAGATATTATTTTCTAAACAAATCAAATGAGCAAGTTTCCAAGATGCTGCATTTCACTCATAGAAACATCTTTTTGCATGTGATATGGCTGTTATACTTCTTGTGTAAGCCAACTACAACTTAAGAGAAACAAATTAACAAAACACAAAAAATTCCAACCCTCAAAAAACTCCAGCTTTTAACATAATGGTCATATCCATAGATAAGTTGTATCATCTTGTACAGTGAAATACTGTATTCTTTGCAATTTATAGAATAAGTGCATGTTTTCTGCTACAATCTGTTAAACTATGCAGAAAATGGTTGCTGAACTTTCAAAGTAATATCTGAAAAAATATTGCTGACACTGTGCATTCGCTATTAAGAGCTAAAATGTACACCCAGGCAAGACTACTGAAAATCCTGGAGCTACGACATCCCAAGGTTTACCTAGGGAATAATTTAAGGAATGTTATCCAGAAGATTGATTTTTTTTTTTTTTTTGGTTATTTTGATTGGTGTGCTTTTTGTTGGGTTTTCCCAAGGACTGTGGCTGATCAGTCAGTTCCCCTTGTACACCACTGCAGAAAACCTGTAGTAACCTGTGCATTTACAAATGCAGATTAAAATCTACCCTTAAGATGAAATATAAAATATTTGTAACAACTTGTGTAGAGAAGATTTCTTTAGGGTAGAAAAAAAATCGCTGTTGTAACATTAGAGCAGAATAACTGTTGACCAAGTACTCCTCACAGTTTGTTTTGGCTAAAAAGTTGATCAAAGGCATCTGACTAATCGTATTTGTTGATTGACTTTGCTCCAGGTCTCTGATAAATTATGAAACGAACCAGAAAATGTTCACATTTCCAGCCCCTGGTGGAATAGTGTCTAGATAAAACACAAAATTCTTTGTGTTTTAATCTTTAACTGTCACTGTTCTTGCTTTGATTTAAGGCATTTTATTGTGATTTTCAAATCCTTCTTGTTAAAAGCTACTTCAACATTGAGTAAGACAATTAGTATATATATCTGTGCTGACGAGCCACATAAGTGTGGAAAAGCCAGAATGGTAATCCTCAAAAATTGTTAAGTGTGGGATTTAAGTTCTCATAGTTCCAATAGAAACTCCATGGACTAGACTGGCATGTATCGTAAGATGTTTCATCTTGTCCATGACACTGGTAAATTACATTTCTTGTTGATTTGCTGTTGATCTCTTTAGGTTATCTTTTGGGGCATGGTGGAGACCCAGAGACAAGATGAAACTGTTGCCATTGATGATATTACTTTCAGTGAAGGATGTTCCCTGGCATATGGTAAGATTACCTGTTTTTTCAGGAGACAGGTTGTTTTACTTTGTCTTTTCCTTGGATTTCCTTAGATTTCCTTAGAAAACACAATGGAAATCTTTTTGCTATTCAAAGACTTTCTAAACTCCAAAAGTGTTTTCATCTGGCTCATTTTCATTTCCCTAAACAATCATCTGTCTTTTCACGTTTAAACAGAGTTACAAAGAAAAACAATGAATACTTTAAGAACTCTGATACAGTATAAATGTAGGGCTCAGTGGGCAGAAAAGGTCTACTGGTTTTGGCCGAAGAATTGATGTGTTCAGCCAGCTTTGGGGCTGACTTTAGGGAGATTCCCAAGGCACTCGTGTATTTTTCTAAACGCGTGGAGGTCCTGATCCTCAGCTGTGCAGAGCGGCTGTGTTGTTCTGCTCTGCTACACCCAGGAGTTGTAATGTCAGACCAGTCATGTCTCCAGTCAGACCATCTCTGCATGTCAGAATTCTTTAGCAAAACATTTCCTATTTCTCTTTTGACCCAATGTATTTTCATGGGGAAGGAACACTACCTGTCCTAGCATAAATTAAATTGTTTGCTGTGCTGTATTGCACAAGAGTATTGCCCTGTGCACCCATGTCACATCCTCAGTTGAACACAGTCAAAACACCTCTTTTGTTTTTCTTCCTCTTATTCTTAGCACAGGCACTGAGGGTTCAGACTTCAAACTTAACTTCAGGTATGGAAGCAGCGTTTGACACAGACTAAACTAGGTTACGTGATTAGGTTTGTGTTCACTGTAATCCAAAATAATGCTCTCTATATTTCCCAATAGGAAAAAAAATATTGAAAAGAGATGCCTGTGGTTATTAGCATGTTAGAGAAATAAGCAATTGCAGGGAGATCACACTAAGAGCAAGATACAAGTCTTGATTTAGTGGTGCAGACAGGCATACATATTTATCTCAAAGGGGGTCTATATTAGGGAAATGAAGTTTCATGTAACTAAACTTGGTCATGTCAGTTTCTCTGTATTGCAGCTTTCTAACAGTGGAGAGATATAGAAGTAAATGTTATATATTTTCACGCCAGAGTACATCTTGCTTTTCTGCTTTGTAGACGTTTTTCAGCTGTATTACTTAACTAAGCAAGGATGTTAATTTAAAACTTCAGGCATGCTTGTTTATGAACTAAGAAAAGAGTACAGTGTACTTAGCCTGAAAAAAATTAATTTGAAATGGAATTTGAAATCTGTCTCCAATGTAAAGAGGACAGACGTGAATTTTTTTTCCCCAACTTCTTTCTTTTCCTTGGAGGATTTCTGCAGGTAAAATGGTGATATAAAACAGAAAAAAACCCCTGCATTGCTAAATTCTAGTGACTTATGTAATTTTTTAACCAGTTCCTGCAGGAAGATATAGATCTGTCTGTAAAAACATATTGAATTTTTTCATAAACAAAGTTCCTAAACCAAACAAAAATTAAAAAAAAAATAATCAGCTATAGAGATGAAATACTGTCTCTAAGAGATGGAGGGGGAAAAAAAGGGAAACAGAAATACAGGTACTCACCAGAATTTATAAATCTAGGTCTTACATTACATGGCAGGTGTTAACAGTGCAGCAGCTCAATCTGTAAGCCACAATATACAGTTTAAGTACATCAAGAATATTCTAATAAGAGCCAGTTCTTATCCTGTGTTTCCCCATTAGAAAAGTCAACTTCATTAGGTGAGTTTTAAATGGCTCACAGCAGCCAAAACCAGGGTCAAAGGATCTTAATTTTATCCCTGAGAGAGGAATGTTACTACTGAACATTTTCCAGTAATTAAAACAAAAGGTCAGGCTAATGGTTGGTTGAATTCGGAATCGTTTTTTCTCTAGTCCTTTTGGAATGTCTAGATAAGTAGACTTTTAATGAAGACCACTTCAATTACATTAAATTCCTAGTTAAAACTTGCATTTTTAATATATGCTTCATGATTTTTAATCCCAGTATAAATGCATGTAAGAGATAACCTGTGCATTTTTATTCATTAGTATGACTGTGCTTTTAGGTCCATGAGTAAAATACCTTGAATTTTTGTGCTGTCAGGACTTTCTTCGTAAAAATTGTGATGGTTAAATATAAATGTAATTTCATTATACTTGAAGTCTTTTCCTCACTTCTATTCCTCCCGTCTCCCAAACCATTCCCCTTCAGTCTGTTGTCCAGTACCACTAAAGACTAAACTTAATGCAAATACAACCAAAACTCTATCTTAAGTATTTTAATAAAAGATACTCTACAGTTCGTAGTTTTCCCAACAGCTGCCAAATAGCTTGTTATCACTCAAAAACCCCATAGTTCTTTTTTATACAACTGCATATGGACTGCAGAAAAAAATAGCTGTCAAATAGAAAATATTAAAGTTATTTTCTGAAACATACATAACACAAAATCTTTAATTACACCTTTAGTAGACCTTCTGTTCAAAGGCCTCATATTCTTATTTAAGTGGCTGTTCTGCAGAACTCCCTCTCAATCCCATAAGAATTATGAATGTGAAGAACCCTATTAAGACTGTTCCTCTGATCTCTCCAAAGAAATGAAAGCCAAGAGCTCTAAGGCGTGAAAATGGAATGCTATGAGGGAGTAGGAGGCTTTAGTCCTCCTTAAATCACTTGTTATGCAGAAGTTACACAGCTTCTCTGCAAAGTTGTGTTGTTTCTTAGGAAAACTGAAGTAATTACATAGGTGTTACTTATAATGCATAAATTTTTAAAAAAATCCAGTATGAATACTTCAAGTGACAAAATCTCAGACTTAATTATGTTGTTAATTCTAATCCTGCAAAGATGTAGCTTTTAATATTACGGATGCAGGTCTTTGAGATGAACTGCTACAGGGATGGGAGTCAGAAAATCCAAAATATTAATCTTACTGTTGTCTGACAAGCTGTGGAATTAAGAGCTGGAAAATGGGTATTTTGTCAAAAAAAACCCCAAAACATCAAAAATGTTTAAAACTAAAGTGAAGAAATGCAGAATGAGTACAAATATTTTGTATTAATAATTCAAAAGTGTTTAAAGAACTTGATTCCTTTTGACTGTACTTGCAACTTTTTTTTAAACGTTGAAATTTAACAGAATCCGTCCTTTTCCCTTGTGGAATTTTGCATGTTCCCTGATATTCCTCACATAATACACATGGTTTGAAAAAAAGTGCATATTTATGCATCACTGGAACAAGGAAGAAATGAAAGGTTTGTAACACTAGCTGGACAGGTCATCTCACCAAGATGTCAGTAATGTGAATAATACCGTCTCTCTGAGATGAAGTAGCATCTATCTGTAGTGACCTGAAGTTGTTTTCTGCATGCAGTAAGGAATCTCTGTGTTTTCTCTGAGATACCTCAATTGCTATTTAAAAGTCTGCCTTAACCAGGAGAATACCTTCCCCCCCGCAATAATATTAGGGGAATATCAAGGGAGACCTTAACACACTCTGCAACTAACATGAAAAAAATCTGCAACCAGGTGGGATTTGGTCTCTTCTCCCAGGCAAACAGTGACCGGACAAGAGGACACAGTCTTAAGGTGCATCAGGGGAGGTTTAGGTTGGACATTAGGAAGAAGTTCTTCACAGAGAGAGTGATTGGTTATTGGAATGGGCTACCCAGGGAGGTGGTGGTGCACTGTCCCTGGAGGTGTTTCATAAAAAACTGGATGTGGTACTTAGTGCCATGGTCTAGTTGACAAGGTGGTGTTGGATAAGAGGTTGGACTTGATGATCTCAGAGGTCTTTTCCAACCTAGTAGATTCTGTGATGCTATGATTAAGAAATGATACATCCATCATCATAGTGCAATCCTGCTTAAAATCCTGGCCACTGTTGAAGGCTACTAGTCAGGCATGATGTGCCCTTAAAAAAAATTCTGGAAAATATGTGGTAATGTATTCAGAAACTTTTTGTCTCTAAAGAGAAGCATTCTTCTGCAAGTATTTTGGAGAAGCTGCTGAGTTAAACCTCTCAGAAGTGATTTTTATGTAGCTATCATCTAGAAAAGTAAATAGGTATTTCTTATTATGACATGTCATTTTTTATGTTACCTGGCAACTCTCTCTGCGGAAGTGAATTCACGAAGGTTGCGATGAGTGGCTAACATAAATAGCACTCCATTGCTCTGAAAGAAACATCTATCATGAGGGAATGATTTTTTAGAATGGTATTGTTAAAGATGGCAGCCTGAAATACTGGAGAGCAAACAGGGATACACAATACTTTTGAAGTAACCTTTTGAAGAGGTAGAAATGTTGTCGAGTAGTTTAATAAGTGTGTGTTTCTAATGGGAAATAGGTTCATAAATAATGACTTAACAAGTTAAGTGATAGCTTTTCTTTGTCTTAAAGAACCACAGACTTCCAGTTTTGAGCTTGACATATGTGAGTGGCATTCTGACCAGCTGGCTGAGCCTTCTCAGTGGGCACGGCTGCAAGCTGAGCACAAGATTGCCTCCTGTTCCCTCCTGAAGGATTGGAGCAACAACACTGAAGGTAGGAATTAAAGTTAATTCAAAATTACTAGCTGTCATGAAAAATATGGTGCTTTTTAGGGCAAGATTGTGACCCAATACTGAAACAGAACAAAACTACAAAAAGTAATTGTATGCATTTCGTATTTAAATTAGCTTTTGATTTGGCCATTTGGTAAGAGTACTGTGAACACACATGCTGGTAAAACATGAAATATTTTAACATAAGAATTAATGAATATTTTCAAGTATTCATGAAACATTTTAATGTAAGAATTCCAGTATAATCCAAGAACTGATTTATTCTCCAGTTAATTCTCTTTATGAGAACTGTGTAAGAATTTGGTGAAATTAAATTAAATCCACTTAAGCCAAGTCCTTGGGTGTGGTTTTTTTTCTATTTTGTTCTGATTTTGATACTTGGTAGTTTTACTTTTGTAGTACTACTCTGAACATATAGTCAGGAATTTCATCTTAAATCTAACATTAGGGGAACTGTAAAGAAACAATTATTTTACAAAATAGTTTCTTACTCTTTTTTTAAAGTAAAATTTGTCAGTAAAATGTGTCCAGTTGCAATTTTCAGAAGTAAAGAGCATCTCTTGTTTTTGAACTGTGTAGTGCATGTTTTGAAAGCTTAATGGATGTAAATCTCTAAGTGTTCTAATGTGAAATAGAATCATCTTGCCAGGTGAGTGTTTGGCTTGTCTACTGAGACTACCTTCAGAGGGGTTAAGTGGGGCTCGTTGTAACAGTATAATTTGTGATGTAGCTTTGAAGGACTGATAGTGAAGAGATAACTGCTTGAACTTTGAACCCACAGAAATGAATCACATCTCAGTGATAGAAGCAGAATGAATGCTAGATATCATTTTTATTATAGAAAGATTTCTAAAATAAATTTTAGCATTCATTTCAACACGATCTAGTAACTGTAAATCAAGTTATAATGGAATAGCAGGCAAAAGTGCCTGAGTGTATACACTGTTAAGATGAATTTTTGCATGTGTGTACAATGGAGAGCATATAGAGTATGAAAAGCAGACTTTTTTCTTTTCCCCTTTAAATATGAGGAAAAAAAATCACACCACCTTCCAATTTCCAATTAGACTTTTAATTTGATTTTATTTGAAACATTTCTCTGAAAGGTGTTCTATCTGTGCCATACTTTAACACAACATCTCAAGGGCCAGTAACGGGTATGAATTTCCCTTTTATGGCAATATTGTGCTAACAGAAAAGATACTGAAATTCTTTAAGTGGCTTTCATAGGACTAGGTCTAGGACTAGACCAGCAATGTCTATAGAAACAGAACATATCTGGAAATGTTTGCTCTATAGGTGTTTGGGCATTATTGTATGAATATGCACAGGTAGCTGAGTAGGCTGAATCTGTAACACAAACAGCTGCTTGGGGACATCCCTTGTGCTTCCTTGTCATCAAAGAAAAAGTAAAATGTGAGAAGAAACAAGTACCAAAACAACACATAGAATTTAATTCATCATTAACATTGCAAAGTATTGAAAAATATGAACTGTGACTGCTTGCCTCTCAGTACATTCAGTATTTCTATTCGTGCAGATTTGTTGAGGCATAAATGAAGAGGCTGAATATTAACTAAAATTCTAAAAACTGAAGAAATGGGATGCAAGCTGAAAAAATGCCATGCTTGAGGTCTCAAACTTGCAATGCAAATAGAGCTTGACTAAGGTTTATTTTCTTATTTTGATCAAAGGTTTCGCTTCTATAAATAGAAAAAGGTAAGAAACGAAGTTATAAAGTCAAGGTCTACACAATTTTATATATAAGGAAAGGATTGCTTATAGTCTTTGAATAATCCTTCTTTGTTGGTGTTCTTAAATTTAATAAAATACTTTCTGTCTTTGGATGACTTTTTTTCTTTGTTCCTTTATTGCTTTTCTCCAATGTTGTAGGCACTTTATCACTTTTTCTCTTAATTTCTCTAGTGTCAAAAGTTCTTACAGAGGTTTTATATTCCCCTGCAATACTGTTCAGAAAATACTTTTTTCTTCTTGTTTTCTTTATTGATATTTCATACATGCTGTGTAGTTTCCATAGTTCATGCTTACATTGGATTAAGCTGGTTTCCTACATCAAGGGTAACACTTCTTTAATAGTAAAATTAGTGAAACAAATTCTTTGCATAAGAAAAATGAAGATGAAAAAGAAATTAAAGGAAGTACCAAGTTTTTAAACCCAACATTTCAGATAACCTGTGATAAAATTTACTCGAGTTAAAACATGAAAAAACAGTGAAATCATTAGATTATGCAATTCTTTTTCATTATCTTTTTTCTCTCTCTTTTTCTTTTATTTTATTCAAAGATTTAACCCAGGATTTCTGAGTTCAAGTAAATTCACTTTCAAAGAGTAGAAACTTTGAGCTCTTTTTTCCTTTAAATGGTTGAGTGGGAGAATTGTTGCAGGGCTTTGGTTCAGAGACTGAACAGGTCTGTGCTTGGGAAGAGAACTTGTCAGAAAAGAAAAAGTCCCACTCAGTGGCTCAGTTTAAACTGAAAGCTCAGTATTTACTCTAAAACCAGTAACACAGATTCAAAGTCGTGTCATTTGTGAAATAAAATCCCACGGATTTAAGTGGGAGTGATGAGATTTGAGTCAGAATATGGTTAAGATAGAATTAGTTAGCTAAATATTTATAGGCTTTTAGTTTTCAGCATAGCGGGATACTGGTAGGTTCACTAGCCCACCTCAGCTCTAAGATGATGCTGGGCCACCTCAGCAGTAAATCATAAGCTCTGCTTCTTAGTTGAACACCAGCGTAGTCAGTGGTGGATCTTTCTGCAGGACTCCCAAGATTTTACTTATGACAAAATTTTCCTTCAAAATTGAAAGAAACAAGACTGTTTAGCTAAAACCTGATTAAGCAGCCATATGGAGAAAATAAAAGACCTGTTCTGCCTTTAAAAACAAGGGGAATTTTGGCACTTCAAAAAGAGCAAGTTGGGAAAATTTATGAGAACAAGTCATAAAGGAGGTCAGAGCATAAACACAGTAATATGCTATGCAGTGTCTGCACTGAGAGAAATTCAGACCTTAAAGGTCTGAAAGGTACAGAGGTACAAAGTTTGCAACAAATAAAACCTCTTCTCAATACCTTTAATCATCAGAAAACTACTTGATAGATGTTGTCCAAAAGTAATAATAAAAAAAAAATCCCTGGAAGAGGGGACCACTGTTCTGCTTTTATAGGTTATAGAGAAGAGGGAAAAAAAATAATAAAAAAGTCAATTTTCAGTTTCTGTAGTCTTAATTTCTGAAGCTAGGCCTCAATTTGTCTAAGAAGCACTCACAATACTTGTGTAAAATGCATTCTCTAAAGAACACTCAATATGCCTCTTGGACACAGAATAATTCTGGATGCTTCATAGAACTTCTGTTTATCTAGTGCTGTTCACTTGCTTTCTCCTCTAAAAACCATGTCAGCTTCACTTTGTCCTGTTTATAAAGATTCAGGAATTTGAAATTAAAAGGGAAAAGAATGTTAATTATCATTTGGCTCAGAAAATAAACTGGGTTGGTTTTATAACGACATAAGAGAACACTGAAGTTAGACAAAGAAGCAGCAGCATAACTTCTAATGTTGTTGCATATTTCTCTTATGCACAAGAAAGTATAGAAGTGTAGATGCTTTACTGATTTATGTCAAACAGAAAGTTGGGTTAAATCTACAATACTAGCTTTCTTTGAGATTCCCTTATGTGGCATGAAATTGTAAGCTTAATTCCAGCGAAATTGCAACCATGTTTTTCAGTGTAAATCATGGCCTAACACAAAGAGTAAACTGGTAACAAAAGGAAAAGAATGTTGTCCTTTATAATAATGAACGTTTTCCTTGTGAAATGACACTTTCTCCCTTCACCTTGAGATTGTGCAATATCTGCATTTGAGATAAGTTTTATTTAGAGAAGGGAGTACAGAAACTGCTGACTTAAGACCTTTAATCAGTTCTTATTTACTATTTTAATAGTTGCTTTGGAAGGCAGCAAACATTCAGTGGCTCAGGAACAGGGGGAAAAAAGAACTGATATATTCAGTAAAAAGTATTTAGGCTTTTTATTTCTGACAACTAAAAGACACTGTTGAGGGGATGTAGTACTCTTTTAGATCTCAGTAGGAAGGCTTTTATAAGGGGCAGTAGGTCAAGAAGAGCACAAATTGCTTTTCTGCTTCAGATGGAAAGACAATATACTTCTAAGATTTTGTTGCAGAAATTCTGGCTGAGAAGTAAAGACCTTGATTACATGGTGGAGATGTGACTGCCTCCTGTAGCAATAAAGCAGAATGCCTTTATTATTTTTTAAGTATTGGCTTAAAAAGCATATTTTCTGGAAACCACAGTGGAAGTAGGAAGAAAGCCCAGTTTCCACATACATTTGTCATTAGGTTACAATTGAATGATTGTGAATGTAAGGAGGCTGAGCTGAATGTGGGACCTCTAACAGCTTTTAACATGCGAAGTAACAACTTCGAGATACTACCAATTGATATAATTTTTGGTTGCTGGGGCTATCTGTGAGTAAAATGAAGATCTATCTTTGTAATAGGAAACACTTAGATGACATCGAAGTCACATAAACAGCCTGATGATCAAATTCAATTCTTGCTGGAATGGGTCTATGGTTTAATTATGTGAAAGCAGTCCTTATTTTCATAGACTGAGAAAAAAAAGAATGTTCTGTGAAAAAGTGACCTTTGTCTTTTTTCATTTTTCAGGCCGTTTTGAATGGTTAGAAGCTAATGACAATGCATTATATGAAAGTGCTTATCTAAACAACTCCACGTGTCATTGCTCCAGCAAGAATTGCCAGTTTCAGTTTCATTACTCCATGGCAGATAACAGTGATCTCAAGGCAGTACTGTTTATTAATCAGGTAATCACCTAATCATGCATTCATTTCCAAAAGGTAAAGGCATGGCAACACAGGTGTTACTAGACAAAATGCAAGAAGATACACCTGCTACTACATGCCTGCCCCCTGAATCAGTTTGTGCAAAACAGTACCTTGGTACTGTTCCGCTGATCTGTGCAATTGCAAAGCCTGGGTATTTGCCATCTCAGCCATAAACTAATTTGATGGGTGAATGTTCTGCAATAAGACTTCAAGGACACCCCCAAGCTATTACAGAATTAAATAAATTGGGGATTTCAGGGGAAAAATCTATAGTAACAGCTTTTCTAGCCTTCTTCCTGTTCTGGAAATATGAAAATAGGTGCTTTTGTCTACGGAGACACAGAAAAAAATAAAGTTGTTGACTCAGGATAACTGGAAAGTTCTTGATTAGATACTTGATTTGTTTTGCCCAAGTCTTAGAGAAGTAATTTTCCTATTCTTTTACCTATTAGTAGATAAAACAGCCTTGTCAAACTGAAACACAAATCCCAGTTGAGCTATGCTATTTCCATCTTTTTTACCTCCCTTGCCTTGTAGAGGTTTCTGATGTTCTCTTTTGAAAGTCTGGTTTAATAGCTTAATATTGATGCTTTGTACTGCTACTTAATGAAAGCAAAAGCAATAGAGCTGGTCTCATTAAGTTAATGGCTCTCATATCTTGGTGTTGGAGTTGAATTCTTATCACCCAACAATACATTTGTATTTAAAAAGAGATCTACTTCATTCACAAAGATAAGATGCTAAAAACCTCGAAGGGTAACACTACCAAGAGGTCTAAACATAGGAACAGGTAATGGAAATATTTATTTCTTTCTGACTCTGTCTTTGAGTACTCATGAAAACAGCTCCAGGCTTCTGCTGTGTTTCATTTATAAAAATAGTTGTATTTTTCGATGACCCATTACTGTACCAGGGAATTGTAAAATAATCAGTGTTCTGGTCAGAATGCATGGAGATTTGTGCCATAGTACTCGCCAATAAATTCCCAGGTATGACATTCATGGCAACCTTGAGACAGAATACGAATACTGATTTTAGTGGTTCACCTAAGTAGGATCAGTGGACCCAATTTAAGAGTTTTCTTTTCCTGAAAATAGAGCAAATTATTTGAGCCAAAACCATAGGAAAACTGATATTTGAGTTCCCATAGAACTGGGAGCCTAGATCGAACCAACTAATTTATAAACAGGTCCTTACATAAGCATAAGAAGAATATTTTTGGTGGTTATTACATCAGGTCAGTCCATTCTGTTTCCAAAGATTCTCTTAGCCCTTTTATGTTTTAGTTATTTAATTTTGCCTTCAGTCAGAAGTGTTTTTATTGTACATAAAGTTATTTAAAGCTGATGTAAAATTTGCCAGAATAACATTAAGAAACTTCTGTTGATAGTTTCAAAAACAAAACCATATAGACTCATATTTGAGACTTCTTAAGCAGAAAATAAGGGAGAGTTGGGGCTTACACATTTTGCTACTAAACAATTAGGTTTTTATGAAAATGAAACGAATCTTCAAAGCTAGCCAATATTGAGAAACAGAAGTGAAAGACAAGTGCTGATTCTGACCCTGGAAGACAACAGAGTTGTTGTCCTGGAGGCTGTCATTCAAGATAACTTCTCAACTGCATGTTCCATGCAGTTTCTCTGCACATCCTATTACTGTATTTGTTGATCAGAACCACTTGTCTTTGGATAACTTTTGCTAAGTCCCAGCACTGACAGGCCTGACACAAATGGAGACTGGATTACACTTAATGTACAGTTTTACTACTGTTCTTAGAGAACAAGCACCACAGATGTTGTAAATGTATCCCTGGCCTTCCTCACCCTTTCAACAGAGAGCAAAGAAGAGTAAACGTATTGTCTAATATAGATATTATGTCATCAATTGTAAGACAGGGAATCTAAATTGCTCTTGGGTTTAAGAAGGACAGGGAAAATGGACTCTTTTTGTCAATAGAAACCTATTGTTTACTTATGTTTAACTTGCAGTCCATTATAATCTGCAGCTTTTCTTCTTTTATTGCTGGCTTGGCAAAGTTGCTCTTCATTAAAGACTACTATTTGACCATTTGATTTTTCTTTCTTAACTGTGATTCATATATCTTTGAACTTTGTCTTATTGGTTTAAAACTGGGTTGTGCATACTGAGATGATTTTTAATTCTAATGATGTCCTTCAGATTTCTTGTAACTCCTCCCAATCTAGTGTTATCTACATTATTTTAAAATTTATTTGTCATTCCACTCTCCACACTCTCCAGTAAGTTAATCAGCACTATAATTATATCAGGACCTGGAACAGAGCTATGCAGAGCTCTATTATAATTTTATTTTAGTTTGATAGAAAACTATTGACATCTCCTCTTTAAAATAATCTCACATTTCTGTTTGTACATCCATGTAATTTCATTTACACATTTTTTTTAAAGAATGTCTTATGACATTATGTTAAAAACCTTTATAAAATGAAATAATGTCTACTTTTTCAAGTCTATTTTGATGAAAAAACCCACAAACGTTACACTCACTGAAGGCAACTCACTCCTCATTAGAAGTAGCTAATGTAGGTTTCTCACTTTCTAATTCTCTAGCTGCTTACAAGATTGCCATGAGTAAATTTGTTCATTGTCTTAAGAGTTGTTCAGCAACTTGGCTATAATTGCACAGTCTGTATTTTTCCCTTAACTGCAATATATGTCCTTTGTTGTGCCAGTTCTCTAGTTTTCCGCACATTCTCCTCAGGTTCTCAGAGCTGGCTGTTGATAGTGAGATATTCCCTTCATTATGTAACCTTTACTTAACGCTTCCTGATTCCATTCCAGTTTCAGTACTTAATGGTTTATAGATATTTGTAACATTATTCTTCTATTTCAGCCTTGTTTGCATTCCCTTTTGGCAATATGAACTGTTCAACTAACATAAAATATTCATAGAATCATAGAATATGCTGAATTGGAAGGTACACATAAGGATCATTGGAGTCCAAGTCCTGGCCCTGCACAGGACAGTCCCAAAAATCACACCATAAGCCTGAGAGCATTGACCAAATGCCTGAGAGCATTGACCAAATGCTTCTTGAACTCTGTCAGGCTTGGTGCTGTGACCACTTCCCTGGGGAACCTGTTCCAGTGCCCAACCACCCTCTGGGGGAAGAACCTTTTTCTAATATCCAACCTAAACCTCCCTTGACACAACTTCAGGCCGTTCCCTCAGGTCCTGTGACTGGTCACCACAGAGAAGAGATCAGTGACTGCCCCTCCTCTTCCCCTCACAAGGGAGTTGTAACTGCAATGAGGTCTCCCCTCAGTCTCCTCTTCTCCCGGCTGAATAAACCAAGTGTCCTCAGCCACTCCTCATATGGCTTCCCCTCAACGTCCTTTACCATCTTTGCTGCCCTCCTTTGGACAATCTCTAACAGCTTAATATCTTTCTCATATTGCTGAGCCCAAAACTGCCACAATATTCAAGGTGAGGCTGCCCCAGTGCAGAGTAGAGCGGAACAATCTCCTCCCTGGCCCAGCTGGTGATGCTTTGCCTGATGCCTCCCAGGACACGGTTGGCCCTCCTGGCTGCCAGGGCACTGCTGACTCATATTCAGGGACCCTGAGATCCCTTTCCCTGGCAATATTTTCCAGTGTCTTGTTCCCCAGTCTGTCTATACAACCAACAATATCAATTGTCAGATAAATTTTAAAATTTTCTGTGAAAACTGAAACCAAATAAGATAATGTTAATTTCAGTCTATCATTTGTCATTCATTACTTGTTTATTTCTCCTATTAAGTAATGGGCTTCTTCCTTTTATCTTTACATCTTGTACGGCTTAAAAAACAGATGGAAATTAGACAATAAAAGGTAATTTCAACTAATGTTTATATGTGCAATCATATTTGTACCCTAATGAACTAAAATTTTTCTGGGTGTTCACCAACACTTGCAAAAACCACATCAAGTACACTCCTTTACAGAAGTCTAAGTTGATCCATTAATCATTGTTCCATAAATCTTTGTTCCAAATTGCTCTCTGAAATGAGAGGAGTAGGAACAAAATAATGGGTGCAGTTTCACAGTAGTGCTTGTATCTGTAAAGAAATATCAAAAAAAAAAAAAAAAGGTCTATTTCAGAAATGAAGTATTTTAGCAAAAGTCATGATAGTCTGTTCCATCCTTCAAATCTGACTAGTGTTATCTCAGAAAAAACATTGCTGGGAAAAGGAACAATTCTTGCCCATTTTAGTTTTACAAAATATTGTTTATCAATAGTAATATATCACAATAAGGGGAATAGAGTGAAGGTATCTTGAGCAACTGTTCCCCCACACAACTGAAATAAATCTTGAAGGAAAGTACTGGAAAACCAATACTTTCCGCATTTTAAAAGAAAGCTAGTGATGCAAGGAATGTGCTAGAGGTGTTAACCTGTTTGTTCCAAAGAGTAGAAGAATCTGACAAACAGGATGAATACTGCAGAGAAATATTGTTAGGAAGGGAAATAATAATATTGGCTTCTTAGAACTGCATAAAATCAGAGGGTAAAGTCTACTGCATGGAACAATAGACAGTTTAAAATTTTGGTACATCTGAGGTGACTTCAGTGTAAAAAACTGCCTTAGAAGGTCTGGATACTAACGTGCACAGAAAAATCAAGTTTACTGCTACAAGTTGTTCTTATTAAAATGAATTTGGGAGAAAGATGGTCATGGGGCTGGATATCTCAGCTGTTATTTGAATGTGAACTAAGTTATAGTATCCAAGTGCATACAGTGAAAGACACAGCAAATGTAGAGCATTCCCAAAGGGTATACAAATGTGTTTGGAGCATTCATATATGTAGGTGTGGGGGGAATACAGTAGCTAAAACAGTCACTTAACCACAGGCTATGGTTTTTACCTACCATGCAGTATGGTTCCTAGTACATCATCAGTTTCTGTGTCTTATATGTACCCACTGTAGGCTGATAGATTTCCTTTGGAAGCTGAATTATTTAGGAAAATGAAGTAAGTTTTACACAGAATGAAGTGTTCTCTATATTGAAAGACTTTTGCTGAATATCTGTTACATGAACAAGTGGACAAATACATCCCATACCTATGTGGAAACTCACAGCTGACTTTTAGTTCTGAAATCAAATATGTCGTGTGGTTTAATCCAAATTTGATTTAGTGTTTGGAGTAAAGGTGTTGCCTTGGCTCTGTCTTGCAGTTTTCTTGCAGTTTTCCGATCTTTAAATGTATTTTCAATAGAGATTTACCCTTCCAGTGTTGTAGGTATGTCAGAACAGGATTGGTAAGGAAAGAACTTTAATTGGCTACACATCACAAATCATATCAGTGTAATTCTGCTGGCACAGACCTCAATGCCTATTAAGCAGTAGACAGCATCTTTCTCCTCTTTTTTATATTACAAGACAGGAAAGAAGATAACTGTCCTTGTCCATAGTATTGGTAACATTTCACATTCCGATCATAATCCCATTTATTAGTCCCCTGTAAGATGAATTGGTTTCATACTTTCAATTTCTCTTCATACAAGGGACTTTCACTTTCTCTTACTCTGCTTTGAATATTTTTCTGAAATGTCACTAATTCTGTAATATCTTCTGTGGAAAAATTATGACCAATATTTCCTAAAAGGAGTCTCAATATTGATATCCGTAATGGTGAGTCTGTTTGTATGTATAACCTATATTAAATTTTCCAGAGGTTTTTTCTGTCCTTCTGGTTTTGGTCTGTTTTGAAGCTGTTCTTGAAAAGATTCTGTGTAGGTATATGAAATTCAAACTGCTACCTTCTTTTCTTTATACTGGTCTCAGTATGTTCCAGACAGGATCATGACCAGAAGCAGGATGAGCACAAGCTGTTTTTGCCAGATTATTGAATCACAAGGGTTTTGAGTGCTTGCATAAAGGCAACCTAACCATATTTAACAGTCTTGCTTTTATCCTTAGGAGGTGGAGTGAAAATAGGGATTAAGGTAACTCAGAACATGACTAGAAGTTGTCAGATTGTACTCTGTGTGCTTGCTTTACAGATTTTTTAAAAAAAGTTTTAGCGCAACTGACAAAATCCAAATTCAGTTCTAAGAAAACTAAATCTAACACAACCTAATATAAGCAGTTATTTATGAACAGGAAACTTATGTAGAGAGCACTGTGGAAAGATATTGTTAACTTCAGCAATAACATGGCTTAATTTGCATATTAATTAACTTTAATTCTACCAGCTCCTGATAACTATATTAGTCTGTTTAATCACAGTGAACCATTCTTGTTTCCCCCCTCTCCCACAGATGTCAGTGCAAAGATTGCAAACAAATATATGAAGCTCTATTTTCTCACATAGAGCTACTTCGTATATATTGGTCATTTGGTTGGGGTATGAAAAGATCAAGAACAAAAAAATGGCCTTGATAATTTCTAGAGGAACAAAAAATATCTCTATAACATTGTTTTCTACATTTTACAGGAGGAATATGTCTTATGGGAAACCAATTTCATGACTAAGAAGGAATGGGTCAAAGTAAATATACAGCTACCAAGAGGACTAGAAAAATTAAAGGTATGAATGAAAAAAAGTACATGCTCAATTTTTGGAGATGCTTTACTTCATTGTTTACAGAGCTCCTAGGGAAATGAAAAAATTGCTAAAATTATATACATCCTGAATATCTTGCTGTTTCTTCAATATGAATAAATATCTGGTTGTAGCTCAACAAAACGTCTACACAAGTATCACATGCAGAAGCTGCTGATCTTTAATAACATGCAAGAAAATGAATACAAATCTCACCTGATTTGATTAGTCATCTGAATCCATCTCAGGTGTTATTAATTCACTTAAATATATACATACTATTGTGTAAGATTATGTAAATAATCTCTGCGGGATTTCAGAGAAATTATGTAAACTACTAATTGAGAGGATACCTCCTCCTTGAGTTTACAGGCATAGAGAAGAATGTTAATTTGCAACTACTCAATTCTTTTATTAATTTACAAGTTTTCATTTTAAGTAATTTTTAATTTACATTTTTTTTTGTAATTCTGCAAATAACCATCATATTTTACAGTTTCAACAATCAGTTGAAAATATAATCTCTGTGAAAGGACAAAGACTAAGCCTACTGCAGGAATTGATGTTTGGACACATGTTAGAATGAATGCATTTCAAGAAGCTATTAGGTTCTCAACGCATGTTGTTGCCCACCTCTCCTTTTCACACAAGGACATATGTGAATAAACAAGCAGATGTGTAATTAGGCTATCTATATTATCCAAAAATAATCAAACAAAGAAATAGTAACAAAATAAATAAATAAATAAAAAGCCTGCTGAAGTTGTATGTATATAAGTAGAGAGCCAAAACTATGTAGTGTTGTACAAAGACTGCAAGGATCACTTGTACTTAGGAAAGGAAAGATATTATCTTTAATTATGTGGCTGTGTCATGGTTTCTGCACAGCATTGTGCTGTTTGAACCAATAGAGAATGCAGAGTGTTAGAAGGCTTTTGTCATTGTGAAGAAATTGTCTCTAGTGGAAGATAACGACATATAACGTTCTCATTGTTTAGAAAGAAAAATGCCTCTTGAGATTTCACTCCAACCTAATTCCCAGGCTTTGGGGAGTATGCTAGATCCTTCTGCTTATGTCCCAAAAAAACGACTGTTCTATTTCCTTCTGTTTTGTCTGGTACTCTTAGATAGTGCCTTCTGACTTTTGCATGTAAATACTTTCTGAGACACGCTATGGTCATGTCCCAGCTGGTCAAACCCCACAACTACATTTTTATTTATTCCTATTTATTCCTCCAGTTCTTGTTTTTCGATGCTTTCTTTCATTGCAGTCTTCATCTTTTTGATATCATACTTGCTGTTTTAACTCAGGTAAAAGAAACCTGGAGAGCACAAGTGGGATAATCTCCTTGTTTTGAGGCCCAGTGGAGGTGGGCTCCTCCATGACCAGGAGCAAGAGATGTTCATCTGAAATTTCATTGCCATAAATCAGCTTGTCCTAAATCTGCTCAGAGCAAGGGAACTCTGTCAGAAAGAAAAATGCTCCTTGAATTTCTCTAAATCAATAGCAGTAATATAAACCAGGTGAGGGCACAGGCCCAACATTGGTGAGTGACAGTCCATATAATTAAAACATTAGCATGGTCCCTAGCAAGGTTTTGACCCAAGCAAATCAGCCATCTCCCAGACAGTGCCCAGAACAGCTCCAGGATTACAAGCAAGTAGGGACCAATCTCACTGTAGAGACTGGGTGCATCCATTTTATCTTAAGTTATGAAACAGCTATGAGTTGTTAGGCTCTGCTATGCCAAGTGGTGTCTGAGGACAGTCCCCAGCCCATTTTATGCACCTGTGAGTGTAGGTGAAAATTTTTCTCTTGGGTATCTGCAAAATGAGGTTATGAAGAGACTTCAGAAAGGAAGATGGAGTCTTTAGGATATTACATTTCAGGACACCTTTCTAAAGCACAGAGTCATTACAACTTTTTAGCTAAATGCTTATGAGATTATGAGTTTTTCTTTAAAATAGGCTTTTTTTTTTTTTAACTTCATTCTTGGAGTTCATCAAACCATTTTAGCTGAAAATTTTCGGAAATTTCAACCTGAGATAGTCATACAAAGTTTCAGATTTTTTGTAATGGAAAGTATGCAGTGCTTTTTAAACTTAGAACTGTTTTATATAAATAAAAATCAGTTTGTTGTCTGTTAACACAAATATTTTAACTGTAACAATCCACAGCTTATGTTTAAAGGAACACTCCAGAGCAGGGCAGGTTTCATTTGTCTGAATAACATCCGGCTCTTGGACATTGCACCATCAGAGCCACCAGGTTTCTGCTTCTTAGAAGAATTCACCTGCAGGGATGGGCAGTCCACAGTACTTGGATCAGCTTGTGACTCCCACCCAGATTGTTCTGATGGCAGCGATGAGGACCCAGCAGCCTGCTGTAAGTGAATCTCATTGTTTTAGAAGAACATTGTGCTGAAGAATATTGTGAAACCCAAAGAGTTCTACATAACAAATCACTAGGAAAAATATTGTTAATTTCTATGGCTTCTTTTCCCCAGAATATTTAATTGCTTTCAGGTTAGTGAAAATGTTCATAGCATTTTCTGTTGTTCATTTTTCTTCTTCCCACTGCTTTCTGTTTCTCTGTCAGGCCTCAGCATTATGTTTTAGACCCAGATAGTAATTTTTTAAAGTATTTGCTAAAATGCAGTATTTAGCATATTTTTACTTGTATGTATTCCCTATATAGCACTTTTATAACCTCTACTTCCCTAATTTGCTAGAGAATGAAATCTGCCTTGGGTGGCATTTGTTGTTAGAACAGTTTTCTAATTTAAACTGTGAGCTACTGTCAGAAAATGCATTAAGTGACATGATATTTGCATGGTGATACAAATCATCATACAAATGGGCCACAGTTCAGAAGCTACATCTTCTTCATTATATTTGCAGTTGAAGGTAACTTTGGTTAGAAGCCACAATTTCTACTGTACAAACAAGAGTAAAAGAAAATACTTGAAATTACTGGAAAATGTCTATAATAATTCTGAATAATTTTAGATCTCCTGTGAAAAGGACTTTAGAGACTTCTAAAATTAACCTTATAGCATGTACATCTGTATGTATATTTGCCTATGGTAGTAACACTTAAACGTATGTTGCAGATAAAAACTCTTCACCTATTTAAGGTATTGGTGATGATATGTATTGCTGCTGGGAGGTACCAATTAAAATTTTGTGTATTGCTCAAGATAGCTGGATGAAAAACACTGATAATGTTTTATTTTCTAATTGCCTGATGAGACTTTAGGAACTATTTGTGACTATGAGCTTTTTTTTTTAACTCACAGTCTGAATCTTCAATTTTTTTTCAATTACCTAAATAACCCTGTGGGAACCATCTCTGAAACAAGTAATATGTGAAAATGCTGAAACAACATTTTAAATAGGAAGGTATACACTGTTTTATCTCTAGGTAAAATCTAAACAAACATTAAAGTCTACAGGGTCTCCCTCGGAGATCTCTTCCTTTTTTACAAGACTTGACCCTGTGCTGCAAGCTCTATGTGTTTGCTGGTAGGAGTGAGGAGAGTCCTCTTATGTTCTTTACGAGGAATGGAATGAGATTGAATTGTACTTTAAAAATTGGACTGCATTTCTCAGCAATTTAGCCATCTCACTTCATAACAATGGGAGAGAATTGTGGCGAATAGTAACTAGGAATATAAAAGAATAATTTCAATATTAAAAATAATTGCCACAGTTGAAGGGCAGCTGTTAACTGTGTACTTACAGGTACACCCCTGTGCCTCAGACACTGGACGTTGGCACTGGATGACCAAAAGACTAACAAATTACCTAGATATAATCAGTATTTTAAAGAAAGATCACAGTGGGTCTCTTGGGAATATTTCTTCCATCATGCTGATGTGAATGGGTAAGAGAAACTGGTGAGTGGGCAGAAGAAAGAAAAATCAGAATGGCCTGGGAGTCTCAACGCTGTTCTTTGTGGAGTCTCTAGAGTTCATGTGCTGGAGCAAGGACAGATGACAGGTGGTCACTGCAAAACCCTCTTCAATTGCTCTGCATAGTGCTCTGCTCTTTGCTGCTGCCTCTGCAATTAATTTGGGTTTACCTATTGGACTGATTCTCCACTAACTCCCTTCAGTTTAAAGAAAACAGTATACTCAGCTGAACCTGAGGTATAGGGATTGTTTGCTTCACTGTGTTGAGGTAGTCAGAGGTTAAAGAGGTATCATTTTGTTGGAACAGAGCACAAAAGTATACTTGGACTCTCAAAAAAGAGTGAAGAAAGGTTCTTTTCTAAAATAAAAAAAAATAGCCATCTTTAAAATAACAATAACCATTTTTAAAGTTGGTCTATTTTAATGGATAGTATTGTCTTGGATACTTCACACACTCCTTTTCAGGAAAGAGGACCCTAATGGTGGAATTTAGCTATTGAATCATTTAGTCAGCTTAGAAGATTCACCTTTCTAACACTTTTCATGGTTTTGAACAAAAGAGATATAAAGAAAAAAATCCTCCTTTGTCTTTGTCCTTTGCTCCTTTATTCCCATTACATCCATTTTCCACGAGATCTTGAAATTGTCTGTGATGTTTAGAGTGCACTATGTTCAGTCACACTAATTTTCAGTAAAAATTTCTATCTGGTACAATAATGCACATTTTAGCCTTTATTCAGTGTTTTAGCATTTGTCCTTGAACACATCCTCAGTAGTTTCCTTTGATGAAGTACTCTCATGTGCTGAAAAAGCTGACATCTCCACACTGAATGAAAAAAAAGGCAGACAACTGCTACTTAACAATGTGAAGAATGTCCCTTTTGTCTTAAGAATTTCTTTGTTTCATTATAATAAGGAAGTTAGAAATAATGTCTCTCTTTGGTCATGTTTACTTGGCATGAATGGTATTTTAATAACACAATTTATTACAAGAACAAATACCTATGTGTTTTGTAATGCTTCTTAATCTTTCTGTTTAATCTCTGCTCATTTATATAAATATATATTTATGTATATGAGACTTAAAAGACTCAAAAAGTAGGAATTTGTCTTATGCACGAGTAAACACCTTTATTTCAGTAGCTTTGTTGAAATCAATGAATCTAATGAACTAATAAATTATGAAATTAATGTTTTTAATATTAAATTCTCCATTTTCATTATGTCTTTTTGAATATCACTTATTTGTGATCACTTCTAAATTTATTTCACAGTGACTGACAGCAAACTATCAAAACCTAGTAAATATATTCAGAACAGAAAGTGAAATGCAGTACCTACATCATTTAAAGGACAATAAAGATCCCTTTCATGCTGATTCCTTTTCTTTACTTTCTACCAAAGATAAAGGAAGTTTTGCACTAAATACTGTGAAAAATAACTTATATTTCAAACACTATACCTACTATTATTTTACATTATTTATTCATAACATCCACAATACATATAAAAACATCACAAATTAATCAGCAGCTACCAATGCTAGCAACTTAGAAAAAGTCAAGCCTTAAAAATATTAATTATTTTCAAGTAATGCCATGCTTTGATTCAGTAGAGTTTCTGGAAATTGCCAGAAATTATTGTAGGGAGGGGACATCCTACAGCTGTTTCTGAAAGAGCATCACCTTCCATTTAGCCTAATTAGAAGCTTTTTTAAAAATACCTGTCTTTACCTCTTCTACTTTTAATTTAACCTCTCTAGTATTAGCTTAAATATTCTCAGCTTTTCATAGGATTTGTATAATTTATGAATATAAAATATGTAGGATGGAGGAAACTTGTATCATTTCAAAGCCATATACCTTTTACTGAATTTCATTTACAGTGTAGAAATTTACAATTGCAAATCCTTGAAACTTTCCACAGCAGATGAGCAGAGCTGAAAATCCTTTTACTACAATCCAGCTTTAAAGTAGAAAGAGCATTTTTTAGTAAGAAACATTTGTTTTACTAAACATTTACGTGTTTTCTGTGACATATTATTGTTCTGGAATTGTCAATATCTGTTCATCAATCTTGTATGTGCATGTGGACAACAAGAAGCTACACCCATATTATTTTCACAGACTTTATTGCTGACAAGCACTGTGTGTCATTACCTTTGGGTTTCACCAGAACCGTTAGCTCAAAGTCAGCGGAACCTCTGCAGACCAAGGGCTGACATGAGATTCTCTGAACACCATATGTCTCTTAACCCTAATCAAGGTAACTGAGTAGTTTCAGGAGATGAGGCCATCTCGCTTCAGGGAGTTATGAGTTATCTGTCTAATGATTTATGACATATGGAAGTTCAGGTTAGATGACCTATGGTCATCTGTGATGTCTCTGTATGCATCATTTAGCGAATTCCAGATAAATAAAACTAATCACACTGGTAGGAAAAGTGCACAGAGAGTCAGAAAGAAGGTGTGTGTAACCCTTCCCTTTCCCAAAATTGCATTAAATGTTAGCCAGAAATGACTGTCCTTTTTTGTTCCTGTCCATACAGATAGTTTATACCCCAAATTCCAAAGAAGCATAGGTGCTGCCACACTGAGTGAGGGTAACAGTCCTTCTCATTCCATACTCTTAGCCAGGTAAACACCAGCCTGATGCAGAGACTAACTGAATGTTCCCAGTTGTGTTCATTCGATTGAACTGCCAGAGTAGGATTGAAAACCTTCATGCAGTTTCAGGTTAGCAATGCTGAAAGAATATTAATTTGCTGGTAACCCAGCCTTGTTAAGAGAATTACTTTGGTTTTCCCCCAGGGAGGATCATGAGAAGCTGAGAGAGAGTAAGCTAGTCAAAGAAAAAAAATATTCCCATTTTACTTCCCAGTGCTCTTGGAATATGTGCTTTGGTTCCTTTTCCCTTTTTTTTTTTTTTTTAAATATGTGGAAAAATGGTTTGTATTAATTGAAAAATCTTTCCAGTGTATTTTATGGCTTTCGTAAGCTACACTTTTTTCTTGAAATTCAAGTGTTTGGGGAATATTTTTTTATCCTGGTTGCATCATTGATATTTGTAGAACCGGTGTAATAATTTAGTTCTTGATTAATTGAGATATGCTGATATATCCACATGGAAAAAAAATTTGGCTTGTTATTAAAATGAAAGCACATTGTTGTTTCATTTCTATTTTCCTTTCTGTTTTGCTGAATTATAAATAGATGCACGTACAAACCAGAGAATTGAGTTGTTTTTCATTCAAAATGTTGAAAATCTTTCTGCAGTTTGAATCCAGTGAAATCTTCCTAGTGAAATAAAAGACATAAATTTTGGTGATAAAAGTTACACTAGGAAGGGACATGATATGTCAGAAAAGAGCCTTATTCAAGCTTACTTAACTATAGTATGACTGCTCAAAAACTATAGGTGATACAATCACATCTTTTCCAACTATGGAAAGTGAAACATCATCTATAATCACTTGAAGTTTCAGATAAAAATGTAGAAAACAGGCTGTGAAGAATAAATATTATACACTGGTTTGATGGGAAAAGCACATTTCTTAAGGTTTATTAGTGTCTGAGCAATGAAAAAACATACTGAGAAACTGTCTCACTTGGATTTGTGTTTTAGCCAAAGCACAGAACTTTTCTTTCAAGCTTGATTCAACGTTTACAAGCACTTCTTAAGTCGGGATAAAGTTTAAGTCAAACTGTTGACTTGGACAACTGAGTTTCACTCACATTTGGTGTCTAGCTGTTCTCCAGCATATTTATACTTTTAAAAATGAAGCATCACTTCCAGAAACTACACAGGGTGGAACACTTCGGTTTGGTGAGTGACTGGCCCAGTGTTTCTGCAGAACTGGATACTTGTATAGAGCTTTAAATTTCAAGTGACAGGTGTAATTTAAAAAAAAAAAAAAAAGAAGTAGCATCTAAAATGTGGTCAACATTATCATACTTTATTTTTTCCCCAGCCCTCCAAAAAAAACCCCAACAACGACAACAAAAAACCCCAAAAGTACACGACCATGAATGTTCTTCCTACCTTTATAATTGTGTTCATATTTGAACAAAGTTTAAAAAAAATCACTGAGCAAAACCAATTTGGGATTGAGTCTTCCTGTGTATGCATGTTTGGTTTTGGGTTTTTTTCCCCACTGTTTATCTATTCAGACCAAAATTTGAAGTTTGGACACTTCTTTCTACATCTATAGTGTTAGAAGAAATTGTACTAGTGACTACCAATGTAAGAAATCATTATTTCACACCTTTCTTGCTGTTGAACACCGAAGGCAGTGATAGGCTTTGTCTAAACATATAAAAGATGTTGGGTTTATTGTGATTAGTTAAAAGTGAATCAAAATTAAATTATTAGCTAAAAATAAATAATAATTAAAAAATACTTCCATGCTAAATATCTTATTGATCTTATCATTAGTACCATCTTGATTTCTGTTTTATGTATAAACCATTATTTTAACTTCTTTTTTTGTTCCTACATTGTCGTTTATTTATGTCTTTTTGGATATTACTATGCAGACACTGCAGCCGGCTGCTTATGCAGATCTGTCACAGGGTTTAGGTAGGCCAGAAGAAAGAGATGTTTAAGCAAGGAATGTTTGCCTTTTTGTGTCACATTGGTGCTCTCAAGACTGCTTAGCTAAGGAAAGCACAATGCCTAGACATAGTATTAATTACTGAACAGCAAAACAGCTTAGTCTTGGATATCAATTTGCATATTGGACCTTAATGTACTAGCAACTGCAACCTAATTTAAAAGATACTTTGTCAAAAGCACAAGAATTTGTAACTAAGTTAACCAAGTTTCTTGTTTAACTAAATATACTGCATTGCACAGAAAAACATGCACCATTAGATTTTACTGTATATAGTGAAGCCAGATAAGAGAGACTGATATTTGTGATTCATTTTGTATCTTAAGATTTAACTGCTCAAATAACCTCTTTATTCCAGGGAGACTTTTACCACAGAGCTTTGCTACCACAATGCTCGAAGAAAGATGCATTTCATTTTGATTTTGTACAATATGAAAATTGGAGTAATATCTATGATGGTGTCTAAGGCTGATACGATCAGATGAATGTGCCATGAATGTGGAAAGTGAAAAATACAGTTCTAAAGTAATGGTTGCAATTGCAGCAAGTGACCCGAAGAGTTAAGTGTATTGCTTCGGGAAGCTGTTCTGGACCAGGAAAAAAACCTCTCAGAGTATAAAATTTTCTTATCAAAATATTTATTTGTACTCAATAAATGACATAATCTGTGAAATTTTTATAAAATTTAAGTTGGTCTAATCCATACCAACTGAGAAAATGGTCTTTTACTTTGCAATAAAAATTTCTAGGAGATCTGAATAATTCACAAATTTAAATCTCATTTTCAAAAATAAATTAGGTGAAAGCTTAATTCATCTTCACTTTCCATGTATTTTAAACTCTAAATACATTTGATTTCCCCCACACATTCATAATTAAGTTTCCAGTACAATTCATCTTTAAAACATATATAACATTACTTTCATAATCTATCAACCTATGTACAGGTCTCATCTTTACTATGATATAGTTTGTTCTCTTGCAGGTAGTTTGCTTCATGGTTCTGAGTTTGCTTAAGAAAGGAAAGATCTGCCTTATCTGTTACCTGTATTCTAGAACTTTTTGTCCGTTTGAATAATCTGACAGTGAAATATATTGGTGCTTCTTTAAGACTCTTAGTACATCTAAATAAAAATATTCATAGTTTTGGCATTAAACTGCTGCATCAAATTCAACTTATTGATCTCTTGTTATTGCTCTTACAACAGCTAATTACACCTTATGTGATTTTGAGACTGACCTTTGTGGATGGAGGCCACTGAGTAGAGGTGATGTTGACTGGAACATAATGAAAGAACAGGCTCCCCTTGACAGGAAACTCCCTGGCAATGGTCATACAACTAATATAAGGCATGGTGAGATTCTTTCTTTATTATTTCCCCCTTATTTCCTCCTTCTGCCATGAAAATTCCTTCTTGTAAATGGTCATAGACTGATAATAAAAATTAATTTGAAATAGGTGCTTCATAGTATGTATATAACATAACTAGTGTGTAACAGAAAGCTCATCTGTTTGGGCTGCTCTTAGTTGAGATGTGGTTACTATGCCTTTGTAACCCTCATTTTTGACTGGCACAATCAATGATGTGGCGACTTGATCCAGTTTTTTGAGATATTGACCTTTGAACTGACAGCTGACTTTTTTTGTGCACATCATTAGCATTGTTTACCCTATACACACAGAGAGGCCATTCCTGGAAGTATTATTTGGGCAAATTATGACTAGCTTTTTGTAGAAGGCAGTTAAAATAAATCCACATTGTATAGGAAAAATAGAGTGACTATAATATCCTTTAAAGAGTTGTTCTTCCTTCAGCCCATATTTACCATGCAATGCAATCAGCTGGAAAAACAGTTTATTGCAGTAGAGGGCTGTTTTAAAGTGTTTTTTTTTAATTAAAGTGTTATTATGGCATACTGCATAACATAAAATTGCTGAGCATGTTCATCATTGTCAAATAATATTGGCAAGTATTCTGTGACTACTTTTATTAAAATGTAACTGCTTTACTTACAGTGGAGATCAGATTACTTTAAAATCTGGGTTACAGTCCAATGGCCCTTTAAGTTAAATTTATTTAATGATGTATATTATCTAAAATCAGACCTCCACACTTCTCTCCCATGTTCATGTTAAAGGAATGTGAAATATTAAGAATTCCACCTCAAGCATTCGAATATAGAGCAACTCTAGGGTTAAAATTCACCTGAGAAACATGAGGATGTGTGTGCGTGCCATAGAATGATTCTAACTGCACAGTCATGTACCTATTTTTCCATTAGTCCCCGTGTGATGAAGTGCACCAAAGTTGCTACTCACTTTTCTCAGCATCTGTTTGATATTTCATTTTGTTGTCTCTGTAGAGTGACACTGGATCAGATCTGCATTACTGCATTCTGTGAACACTACTGTGTTACAGCTCCCAAACTTTCAAAGCCCCAGAGGGTAGCAATGATCTGCCTGTGTCTTTCTCTGTTCTAGATGCTGGTGAGATCTGAGGTGTAATGTGGTCATAAGGAAGGCTACTGGCAGAAACATCTGTTCTGCAGCCTAAGTAGCATGCTAAAATTGCCCATATGGAACTGTGTGCTTTTGCACTTAAGGTGCTTTGATACCTGAGTCATCACAAGTTTGGTTCAGTGTTGCTGCAGGTTGAAGCCTCAAACAGATCTTGAGGGTACTGTGCCTTACCTCTTGAGCCCAGCAATGTTGCATTCCACGTATAAGTTATTCGAAAAGGTATTTCTGAGGTGGTTTTTTACCATTCTATCACTGTGCCTGCTACAGCCACAGCTTTAGAATTAGGATTCGAGAATTTGAGCAAGTTTTTACCAGTATTAAATAAAGATTCTTCAGGTTGCAACAGTTCCTTCTAGTACCACAAAGCATTGATGTCTCTTCTCTCCTGGGGAGGGCAGCAGCAAATTTTGATTAATTGAGATCTTAACAAGGTTACTGTAGAGCCTCAGCTGCAAATTAAAAGAAGGTCCTTTGAAGTACCCTTGCATTCCAATGAGGGGAGCTTCCCTTGAGCTGCAAGCGCAGCATGCCTGTTTGTACAGGGAGCTGTAACGGTCCCCTCTTTGTGCCAACCTTGCTAAAGCAATGCCATTATTCACGTGGGGCTGGACCTAACCCTCTGCTTTATTATGTATCCATGGGAAATAAATGGCTAAGGAGTATGACTGTGGCAGCACAATAGCTGATTTTCCAAGATGTAAGGCAATATGTGTAATATCAATGCGCAAAAAAGACTGAGCCTTTAGTGTTGTTTTGCACAGACCTTCATGAAAAAGTCTCAGTATTCAGCAAAGGCAGCACTGACGGCATTCAAAATATGCTGCTTTAGGGCCCCTTGAAAATGTTTATCCTTCCCAACCTTTGTCTGAAGCACATCTGCTGTAGTTCAAATCCAAACGCAGTTCATTTGCCAGAGTTCAGATTAGATCTTTAATTAAGCTTTCATCCCCACTAGCACAGACAACAATGTCAAGTCTGTGGACCCCATGAGAAAATATAGCTTATTCCATTGGTTCCTGGGGTCTGCAACATTGTTAGCATGCTTAAAACTGGCTGTGTTGTGCTGGGAGTGAATACTGTACCCTAAAGGAAATAATTTTTGTTTTAAATTCAGTTTGAATCATTATTTAAGCCAATTAAAATGCATCCTTTAGGGATCTCGGCTGAGGTCTGTGCTGTTTGATCTCCAGGGTGCTCTGTGTTGCAGCTCCTTTGCTCTCCCCAGTCCATGCTGAGAGCAGATGGGCATCACGCAAAGGTGATGGGAAGTAGTTGTAGTATTTGGAGATTGGAGATCTTAAGTTTTTGCTTGAAGAGAGCAGATAAAAAATAATTCCAGTGGGTCTGCACAGTAAAGCCCTCAGAGAAGCAACATCTGAACTCCTTTTGGAGTGCTCCATATTCACCTCCTCAAGTTTAATTGGTTGCAGACACCACAACAGGGTAACCTTAGCAATGGCTGCCCACACAGCCTTATTTCCTTCTCCCTCTCTTCTTGTCTTTGGAATTAGTCATGATAACTTTGCAAGAGGGAAGAGGCAGGAGTATTTAGCAATTGTGTTTTGCCTTTGCCCACGTAGACGCTGTTGCAGCCTGTTACAACACCTTCCTCATTATCCACAGAGACTGAACTGATGGTAAAGCTGTTTCATTTGTTTTCATCTATGAATAAGCTTTATATGCCTCATGGAGTACATAGTTACCTCTCTGAGGTAGCTATTTGCCATTGGAGCATGACATATTTCTCATACTTTTAAAAAAAATATCTGTTTTTAGGAACATTCATTTACTTCAGTGGATCACATCAGACGAATACAAAGGTGGCCATGTCTCATCTGGGGAGCCCTTTTCTTCTCAAACCGTCCCCTGGGCTCTCCTGCTGTCAGGTAACAATTTGGTATTAACTGTCCCCACGTTTGCAAGCTATCACTCACCTGATGAGCAGAGATGGTATTCTTCATGCTGTAAGTGTTGCTAGTGAGGATTATTTCAAGAGCAGTGGAAGGAGATACAAACAAATTCTTTGGGAGGAGGGAGATGTAGCTGACATTTTACTGCTTTGCTGCAAAATTTTTATATCTGATTATTATTATTGTTTCTAAAGCACCCAGCAGGTGACTCAGATTTAAGGATACCTTTCAGGTTTTTGTATGCTGTGACAAACCTATCTGGACAACAGTAAATAACAGGACCATATCAAATAGCCACTCTGTTGTCTGTAGGCAGGAAAGTCACATAAACGGTGTTCCATAATAGGAAACCTAAGGTTTGAAGTCATTATATACATTAGCTATGTTGGTGTGACCAGAGAGATTTCACTACCATGTCCAGACATGTACTAAATTTTAATTGATTGTTTGAGAGGATGTTTTTTAAGCTGACTAGTGCAGTACTTGAGAGTTACCTTGAAATGCTTTTTTTGTCAAATGTCTTGTGGCTCTGCAGAGGAATGTAAAAACAACCTGCCAGGATGGCACTTGATCTGAGAATCTAGAAAGGTACCTTGAAAAAAATGGATCAGAAGGGCCAAAAAATACAAAAGTAATAGATGAAAAATGAAAACACACTTTTATAGCTAGAGTGTTGTAATTTTAAACAAAACATGTAAAGCAGACTTTGAAGAAATATATTAAATATGTAGAGCATCTAGTCATTGCAAGAAAACATTCCCAACTGGATTGGCCAATGAATAAAGTAAATAGATATTGTAAAGTTTTATAAGTTTTTTTCTTTTTTTTTTTTTTTTTCAGGAGGCTTTTTTTTGTTTTCTATTTTATAACTTTTCAAAGCTTATGCCATACTGGGGAGAAGCTAAGTTGTGTAGTTATGATGTTAATTTTTTTCTGCTACTACATAAATGCCTTCACAGAGAAGAAAGGGAAAAGACAGAGAAAACTTGCCAAAATAATTTTATTGTGTTCAGTGGCAAAAAGAGGCTTTAGAGAAACAAAATAAAATTCAGACTCATTGCTTAATTTTTCAGACACAATGTAGGACAGAAAATGTACTTGCACTTGGAAAAACTTTTTTTGAAAACAAAAATTTCAGAAAAGAAGGAATTGCACTTAAAGGTCCAACAAGTAGCTGAATTTTATTCCAGCAGGATCTAGGCTTCTTAGGTTTTATCTCATGTAGGGGACCTGAAGCAAGTGCTGGTTTAGCTAAATCTATTTTACTTGAAACTGTAGCTGACTTGGACTACATACATCAATGAGTTATCAGATCTCATCTGAATAGTTGCAACTTGCAGCTGAGGAGTAGAAGCCTCTTAATTTAAGAACAGTTCCTTACTGTTTTCTAATGCAATTTCTCAGTTATTAATCTTCACGTGGCTTTTTAGTGTTGTAAAGCATCAGAAATTAAATAAATTCAGGATAAAATGAAGCAGAATACTGTTGGAGGGAACTTGTAAGGGCTCACAGCATCCCATCGAAGCCTTGCATGTTGCATTACTCCTGGGACACCCAACACACTTTGTATCCACCATGCATTGTTTAGGCAGTTTCATCTTTCTTTTGTAGACTTTGATGCTGAGTGGATAACTTAATCTGTACCTTAAAGGTGTTTATCTTAGAAACCCTTAAGGCAGACTGGGCACTTCTGATATGTGAATCAATGAATTATTCTGGTTAGATCTATTTCAGAGCTTGGTCTGCATTCAAAATAAACACAATTGCAGTGGGGATGCACGTATTTTTCTCCAGTTCAAAGGCAGAAAAGAAACACTTTTTATTATAAGTATGTATGTTTTGAATGTATTCGAAGTTCTCAGATTCAACAAAATCTAGAGAAAGTTCTTACCTAGATATATGTGTCTGAAAAGAGAGTGTTTGTGAAGCCTGGAAGCCTGGCTTTCTGCCATATTTTCCCTGCAGACTTTTATTTCTGGGAAAGAGCAAGGAGTAGGGGTTGTTCATTAGGATGTGTTATGTTATCTGTCTATAAATGTGAGATGATGCCCTCTGTTAGATGTCCCACTGAGAGGATAAAAGGATCCACATAAAGAGGTCTGTGTTTATTAATAGCTTTACAAGTTCTTTGGCTCCAGTTGTTTAAAAAAAAAAAAAAAAAGAAAAAAGAAAGAAAATAGGAGTTGAAGGATAACAGATTTATATTGTGCTTTTCTGGTTAATTTAAGCTTAGAAGTAACTTCTTTCTGCAACTTCTTGTAGCTGCGTCTTTTTGTAGATGTCGGCTACATTTCTTCATTTCTTCATTTAGCTCAAGGGTTTGGAGTTGTAGAAGCAAATTTCTAGTCCCAGCTCTCTGTTTATGACTTTTAATGGACACAGTATTTGTATAGCTGAACATGTAGACATAGAGAAGGAGGGTAACTTTGTTTCTTACATAATGAAAACATAAATTTGTTTGAAAAGGTTAGTAGACAAAAGCCATCTAAATTGTTCAGAGTGTAGTCCTTCAAACAGCTCGTTTTGAAAAGTGTTTGTATACCTCCTGCTTTCTATTTCTTAAGCTTTTTGGTTGGGAAAAAAGTTACATGAAAGTATTTCATTTTAATAATAAGTCACAAGATTATTTTATACAAAATATGATTTTCATGCATGGGGGAAAAAGAAACTCCAAGAAAAATTGAGAGACTAAGTCCACCAACCTTGAAGCCAGAAGATATTAAATAGTAGGAGTGTGTTTTAACAGGAATATTTCTTAACCACTGATCCAGCTCTGGTTTTACCTCTGTGAAGACTCAAATACTGTCAAGTCTTTTGCAGGGAAATAATGATACTGCAGTTGAAGAAAGTTTAGTCTATCATTATGTGAAAAAGCAGGAAGGACTCGGGGAAGGAAAAATTAGTCTTTGAAAATCTTATTTCTTCTCTGCAGTTACCAGCTGAATTTTTGCCTTGGTATTATTGAAAAAAAAAAAAAAGAAATTAAATGTATCAGGTTTACTCTGTATTGCAGGGGAAGCAAGTGAACTATGATTCTCACTAAAAAAGAAGCATAATCTTTGAGAAGTTTCTAAGGACTTACTAAGCTAAAAAGAATTAAAGGAAGATATATCATTCAGTCTGAATCAGTTGATAGATATAAGTTAAAAGTTGTAAAAATAAGCTTTACTTTTAAATACGGTTTTATCTTTAGACATGATACTGCTCTTCAACATGCTGTAATTTCATACTTCCCATTCTTTTATGCCAAATCTATGTTTACAGCTGTCATGTTATAATGTACATGTATGAATCGGTGCTGAACGTATTTCAGATTTATTATGTAATTTTTTTAAGTGTTTCATTAAAAACTCTTTCAACAGGTAAGATTTTGGTACAGGTTATCTCAGGGGTCCCAGCTTTCTGTCTTTAAGAGAACTGCATTGGATGGAAGTTTGGAAAAATTATGTGACATTTCAGGATCACCTGAGATGAAGTGGACAAAAGGGAATATACTTGTAGAAAGTGCAGCTGAGGAATTACCCTTTCAGGTAATTAGAAATTGCATTTACATTGCCTTCAAAAAGTTACTCCAGTTTGACCTTTAGAATTAGTTTACTTTTATGATGAAACGTAAAACGAGAATTTCTATTCTTTAATGTTGCTATGAAAAAGAATTTTATTCTGCTTTTTCTACAGGTGCATCTACTAAAGAACATGGCCATTGTTTCAATATTCTATGCTTTAAAATAACTTTTTGTAATAAACATCAGGTAGCAATAGTGTAGTAGCTTTTAAAAAATGAACTTTCTATAAAAACTGCTCCTCAGAGCAAGGGCCTAATAATGTTGTGTACAGGCAGAAGAATCATAGAATCCTGGAATCATGGCATTGATTGGATTGGAAGGGATGTTAAAGATTATCTAATTCCAACCCCCATTGGTAGGGATGCCTTTCACTAGACCAGGTTGCTCAGAGCCCCATCCAACCTGGCCTTGAACACCTCCAGGCATAGGGCATCCACAGCTTCTCTGGGCAACCTGTTCCAGTGCCTCACCACCCTCACAGTAAAGAATTTCTTCCTAATATCTAATATGCATTTACTCTCTTTCAGTTTGAAGACATTCCCCCTTGCCCTGTCACTACATGCTCTTGTAAATAGTTTCTCTTCGTCTTTCTTGTAGGCTTCCCTTGCAGAAAGCTGCAATTAGGTTACCCCAAAGGCTTCACTTTTCCAGGCTGAACAATTCCAATTCTCTTAGCCTTTCCTCATGAGAGAGGGGCTCCATCCCTCTAATCAACTTTGTGGCCCTCTTCTGGACTCAGTCCAACAGGTCAGTGTCCTTCCTGTTCTGGGGACCCCAGAGCTGGTCATAATACTCTACGTGGGGCCTCACAAGAGCAGAATAGAGGTGCAGAATCACCTCCACTGATCGACTGCTCAGCTTCTTTTGATGTAGACCAGGGTATGATTGGCTTTTTGGACTGCAAGTTACATTGCTGGCTCATGTCCAGCCTCTCATCCACCAGCACCCACAAGTCCTTCTCATCAGGGCTGCTCTGGATCTGTTCATCCCCCAGCCTGTATTGATACCAGGGGTTGCCCTGACCCAGGTGTAGCACCTTGCGCTTTGTCTTATTAAACCTCATGAGATTCCCATGGACCCACTTCTCAAGCTTTTCCAAGTCCCTCTGGCATCCCATCCCTCAAGTGTGTCAGCCACACCACTCATCTTGGTGTCATCTGCAAATTGCACTTGATCCCTTCATTTGTGTCATTAATTAAGATATGAAATAACACTGGTCCAAATACAGATCACTGAGGGACACCACTTGTCACTGACATTCATCAGGACTCTGAGCCTTTGACCACTACCCTTGGGATGTGACCATCTAACCAATTCTTTATCCACCTAACAATCTGTCCACCTAATTCACTTCTCTCCAGTTTAAAGAAAAGGATGTTGTGGAGGCCATGTCAAAGGCTTTACAGAAGTCCAGATAAGTGACATCCATAGCCCTTCACTAATGTAGTCACTAGGTTTTTCAGGCAGAACTTGCCCTTGGTGAAGCTGTGCTGGCTATCTTGAATCATCTCCCTGACCTCTGTGTGCCTTAGCATAACTCATAGGAGGATCTGTCCCTTGATCTTCACAAGAACAGAAGTGAGACTGACAGTGCAGATATTACAATTTGCAACATTAATCACAGTTTTCAAGTTTAATTTTCTTTTTACATAATCTCAGGCTACACTTTGCTTAAACTTAGAATGGACATGTTGGGGAAATCAGCAACTCAAATATAAGGATTCAGTAAACCAAAATTCCACTTTTGGTCTCCTAATTTTATGTCTTACCTATAAAATGATCAAAAAGAAAGGACATTATTGGTAATTTATTAATTACTTTACTCTCTTTTATGATCTCCTGAGTGTTTCCTTGTATCTACAAATGCATCCGTACAATCCCCACCTTTACTGTACCACATGCTGTTGACTTCAACAGGCACGGTATAGATGAACACAGTTAAATGGAGTTGTAAATCATCATATTTGGTAACCCTGAATAGCTAATATAAGAATATATATACTGTTCATTCAATAGTGATGGCTTTCACCAGTTTCAATTGAAACAAGGTCATCTGGGTTGCGTAACTTGCCATAGGTAAAGGCAGTTATGGCTTTGACAGATGAGAATCAAATTTCTAACCCGGTAAAATCTCAATTGTAGTTTTTCCTCACTGGTATTTAGAGTTGATTGTAGTCAGTATTTAAATGTTTTAAATTATAATGGAATATGTATATCTATACATGTATGTATGTATGTATATCTGCATGTCTTTTTATCATGTCACTTTTAATGAACTACCTTTTTTTTTTCATCTTTACAGATTATTTTAAGAGGTACTATTCTAACAACAAATGCTACTGTTGCTATTGATGACATCAGTATAACAGAAGAATGTGTAGTTGTGAATACATCACTTCCAGATGTCAGTCAGGAAAGTGAAGGTAAGTTTTGTGGTTTTCAATACATCTTCCCCAATGTCTGTTATGTATAACTGTGATTTGTCCAACAACTTGAAAATACCTTTAATAAAACAGAGGATAATCTGAGAAAAAAAGTCTGTATGCTGTAATCAATCACCTGCCTTGAAGTTTCAGGCCAGGTTGGCTGGGTCTTTGAGCAACCAGGCCTAGTGAATGGTATCCCTGCCTGTGGCAGAGAGGTTGGAACCAGAAAATCTTTAACATCCTTTCCAACCCAAACCATTCTGTGATTCTATAATGAAGGCTCTCATCCTTGTTTTATATAGTAGCTGCTATAAGTAGTTTTTCCTAATTCTGCAAAGTAAGCTGTGGTGAGAATTTCCAGATACCACTTACTATGTAGTACCTGCTCACATACACATTTGGATGCAAAGGCAGAAGCAAAGCATCTTATGTCTTGCACTGGAGAGCAAATTCCACTGCATTACCTTTAGGACAGGAGGCTTCTTCCATTATTACTTATTATAATATATAACATATAATAAGTGTCCACCATACTTATTTGTGTACTCACGTTCTATAGTCTTGAAGTGCCAACAGACGGAAATATAAAATAATCTTACCTTCTGTCAGACAGCTACTTCTAGTTCTCTTGATAATAATAGCTACTTTTCAAAAATGGCACAGGCACATATGCAGTCAGGGGTAATGTTGATGAGTTATAATCAGTTGATAGCTGAATTTCTTCTCTACTGAAAAATTTAAGGGCATAATAGAAGACTTCAGTGTTGTGTTTTTAAGGGTTCTCTAATCTCTATATACAGGTTGATGGTAGCTAAGTATTTAAAGAAACAATTATTTTCCCTCCCCACTTACCCATTAGTCACACAGATATTGTTCTTAGAAAGGAGTGAGGTTTTTTTAAAAAGCCCTGTCTGGATAGAAACAAGAGTATTTAAAAAGGTGAAGTTACACAATAAAGATGAGAAGCTGCTCATCATTCCTCTCACTTGCTCTCTTTCCAGAAAACTTCTGAAGTAAAACCAGCAGACCCTGGGTTTTGTTTCCCCATTCATTGAAATTTGGGATGTTTTCTAATGTGTAGGTTGAGGTGCAAGCTAATAGTGGTGCAGCATCCAGCTGTCATCTTCTTGCAGCTTTCACTGTGATCTGAACACAGAGAATCCACCTACTCTCTATTCCAAGGGAAAGAGCAGGCATCTGTGCACAGCCACTCGCCTCTGAACAGCCTGGCTGTGTATTTGATAATTTTCCACACAAAAGTTTGAATATTATGGAGAATAATATATAGTATAAGAGCATCAGACATTAAGATCAGCTGTGTTTCTTATAAGTTGTGATATAATCTAGCACACTTCATAGGTGATGCTGTGTTCTTTACACTGAGTACATTACTGTATTAAAAAGATGATATGTGTGTTTTTACTCATATCTCCTTTTCTGATTTTAAGGGAAAACAGAATTTGCAGATGCTAATGCTTCATCTTTTTACTGTCCACCGGAATTTTTTTCGTGTGGGGATGAACAATGTATTTCATCTGACAAATTTTGTGATTTTACGCCTGACTGTTCAAATAGCCAGGATGAAGCCAAGTGCCGTAAGTGAAAATTTAAAAATCTATTGTTGTTAAGCTCCTGTGACTGTGTTTGTTCGTCCTATTTGCAATGCTTTCATGACCTCATAAATCTTGCAATTTAATTAAAAGTAAAAGCTCTTGAGAAATAGTTACTTCACTTTGATTCTGTTCTGTGAATTTTTCCTCTCATTTTCTGTAGCAACTACTTCCCTCCTAGTATTAAAACCAGAAAAAAGTTTTTAATTTTTTGACAGAATTTACTGCTTAACAGACAGTATTTTATTTTAAAATGCTAATGCAGTGGTCACAGCCTGGCATTCAAATTTTATGTTGTATGTCTTGTATGTTCAAATCATGATGTGAAGATACCACAGCTGTCACCAACACCAGAAACATGCTCACAGATATTATTTAAGCTGAGTCAGCATTTTCTTTTTGGATGTGCTATACTCTTGTCAAGGTTTCATAGGCTTTCTCTGCATGGAAACAAACAAGTAGGAAAGTAGAGGGAGGTGATGCATGTCAGAGTCTCTCTCCACTGTACAGTCAGCAGGGAGCTTGGAAATGTTTCAGAGTCTCTAACATGTAGCTTCACAAGTCTTTTTGATTCATTCAGTTGCCTGCTCTGCATAAGAAATCATAGTCATATCTTTGAAAATGAGTCTCTTGCTTTGAACTATCAACTTTGCTATAAAAGTCATGATGCATTTTCAAAGGGAGTTGCCATGGGCACTATTTAATACAAGCTTCCTTTAAAAAATACAGCATGATGGTTTTCACACAAATAACAGAAATATTGTAGACAAGATCCTCCAATTATTTTCTGTGCTGTGTTATGCATGACAAAGCAAAACCTTCTTCACAGATGCTAATAAAATCCAAATTCACAAATTATATAGTTTTTATTAGGATATTTGAGACCTGTTGCTCAGTTAAACAAAAATCTATTTGACTATTAGCAGTTAAAAGAAATAATTACAGCTTCTATTTGTATTAATGCAATTTCTCTACAGTTTTAGTATTCTATCTTTCTTGGATAGAGCACTCATGTTGAGCGTTGTAGGTGTTTAGAAAGATTGATATCCAAAATATACAGACCTTTAAGATATGAAACTGCATTTTGTTTTATTAGACAGCTGTTTGACTAGTTAAAGCCAGAAGTAAATATTAAATGTTTACTAAGCAGAATATCTTTCCTCTTGTGGGCCAGAATAAAGAAAATTCTGATGTGACCATGGCATAGTTGAGCTTGGAAGGGATACCTGAAGATCATCTAGTTAAACCCCACCCTGCTCAAAGTAGATGAGGATGCCCAGAACCTTATACAACATTTAGGTTCTGAATATCTATGAGGATGGAGACTACACAGCCACTTGGGGCACCCTGTTCCAGTGTTTGATCACCCTTTCAGTACAACCACAAGTCCCCGTTGGTTCTTCTTGTTTCTCTGGGCACTACCGAGAGGAGTTCTTTACTCCCTCCCTGTCTGTGTTACTCATATTAAAACTCTTACGACACTCAATTGCTGTTTGACTTACTTCATGTTTTTTTCTACTTAACTTCAAAATATGGTTACACATCTTATGCAGCATTGGGTATGATAGTCTGGATTGCTCTCACATTACCCTTTTTAAACTCTGATACTGGGTATTTGTTCTCTGTCAAAATAATAACTCTTCCAAATCAATAGTTTAATTAAAAACATTCTAAATAGATTTAGTCACATGCAACTTTCACTGCTCTGGGATAGCAGTGAACTGGTAGCTTTTAATCATGAAAATTAGGATCTACTGGGGTTTTTTGCCATTTATATTTCCTTTTAGCTATTCAGCCTGTGTTTTCATTTCATCATTGTACCTAAAGGTGAAGACAAATGTCCAGTTGGTGTTTAACCAGTCCTAGACTAACTTTAATTGCAAGTTGCCTATGTGGCAACTGATTTTCTCTTTCTTTTTCCTCTAATTACATGACTGAAGAAGCCTTTATTATACCGAAGTCTCGGTTGTCCAGACAATACATTAACAATGCCATGTTAAAAGTTAAACTTTGGAGCCTTTATATTTATGGTGATCTTTGCTCTAAATATGTTGCTGACTTATAAATCATTGTTATTGCTGAGCTGGCTCAGTGTGTGCTAGCACTACAGCTCGTAAAGTGAGAAGCAGAATCTAGGCACACAAAGGGCCATGCAAGTAGTTTGGCAAGTTGACCATTTCCAAGCAATAAACTTACCTTTCAGCATATTATTCTGGTAGTGTACAGCACTCTTATAACAGCTCTCATAATTCTTCCCAAATGTTATCTCGTCATTTTCATGCTTGTGTAGCACACCATTACTTTCTATATTTGTTATGTATATTCTTCCAATTGGATGCAAGCATTTCATTTTTCTCAGAAATTTTTCCTAATTTCTGAACTTGGCTAAGCACAGATTTTTCTTTTACTTCACCTTTAATGACTACATTGTTCTTTTCATCAATATTCACATTTTTTTTCCATGATGTTCAACCTAATAATGATTGTATGCATCTTAACCTTCTTGATGTTTTCCTTCTTTGTATGAGATCCAGGCAAGAATATTACATGGGTCTTTCAAAATATATTTAAATTAAATCCTCTTATCTTAAATTCCAGCAAGATGATTTCCTTAGATACCTGGATCCTCTAAGTCCATTGATAAGCAGGGTCTCCAGACAATTTTCTTATCTCACAACATCAATTCTTCAAGACATCTCTTGTTTTTCACTACCCCTCAAATGGGTTGCTCTTTTCCGTCAGGCCTGAAAGAATTCAGCTGAAGATTTCCACTTCTTGGACTGTCTTTTTTACCTAAAAGTAGATTTCTGAGCTCAGAGTTTTTGCAAGAAACTTTCTGTTACTTTTCTTCATATACAAGGCTTTAAGTGAATTTGTATTCTCTACTTTGATCCTTTGGCCTTAGAACCACATTCATGTTCTTGATACTGAAAGGAGATGAGATTATTCTTTCTTCCAGGTTTCTCAGTTGCATTTTACAAAAATGCATGTCCTGGACCCAAAGACATTGAATGTTGGGTTTTTTTGAGTGCTGTTACCTTTGACTAGGGTACCCAGCTTTTCTTCTACAGATGAAGAATTTACTATGGTCATAAAGCTATTATACATGACTTCTATGCATTAAAGGAGAAATAAAAAGCAACAGCCTTTTTCAAACTGCAGTTTTACAGCAGTGACCCACTATACCTATCGCATTGTGTCTTTGTGCTCCGGAAGATGAATGTACAGCATGATTTCTGTGGTCTACATCCTATGCATTTAGTGAAGTCTAAATGCTCATTTTTCCAACCAAAGAACGATGATGATGGAATAGGAATAAGATCATGTTGGAAAGTAATCTGGTAACATGAGTGTATTCTTGATATTCTGTCTGACCTTTGCTTATTTTTCCCTTACACTCTGTCTTTTGTGTTTTGGTTTTTTTCTTTTCCTCTGTCTACTTACGGTGTGGATTATCAGGAATAATTATATGGGTTTATATATAAAACAAATATGAAATAATTTGCCATGGCCGCAGACACATCAGGATGTACCTGTTCTGCCATGGGCTTATTCTCAGCCACAGTGATACTAGGATTGAGAAGGGGTCAGAGAAGAACAGCTGTGGCATAGGTAAAAGGGGAAACAGGTTGTGGAAAGGAAGAGCATGGAGGAAAGAGCAAAGGCATTTTTCTCACAGAGACCACACATTTTCAGAATGTCTAGGAATGCAGAAGGCATGAGTCTAACTTTTCTACTTCTTTCAGCAAATATATACATAGTATTTTTGGGCAAAAAATATATCTCATTGTATACTTCATCCTATTTAGTTCTTTGCAAATTATGCACTGTGACAACAAATATTGCATGAGCTTCAGTGGCAGAGAAAACAGGGAGAATAAAAAGGTGGTCTGAATAGTGACCATTGGATTTTATTTTTGTATAGTTCAGGAAAACCAGGACCTTTCCTTTCAGTTGCATAGAATTTTTACAGAATTTTATTTCTCCCTGTAAAAATCTTAATCTTTGCAACTCCTACAGCTAAGTTAGGAGGCAGTAGTTCAGTTAGTTTTTAAAAATGTAGGTGCACAGTGAAATGACTATGTGTATTTATAACAAAATCTTTTTACTCTGCATATTTTGCCTGTCTTATACACAGAGCTATTTCTCTTTTCAGAAGAGATATATACCTCAGTGTTATGTACAAGATATGTTTGTCTGTTAGTAAAAAGCCCACATGACTGAAATCACAAATAGGTCTGTTACAATTTCATGGTTATTGAAATGGATTTCCCAACAGAAATTAGCAAAAGAAAATGTCTGGAGTGTTTTATTTCCTCTGTAGAACCATCCGTAGAGGAGACCTGTTTGCCCTAAACTTTTAAGTGTGGGTGTTTTGGTTGTTTTGTTGTTGTTGTTGTTGTCTTTTCAAAATGATAGCAGATAATATGGGGAGATCGAAAGTGAAGGAGGATCCAATTTATTTGAGCTTCAAATAGTGACTTGCTTTTTCACTTTTTTGTTGTTTGGGTTTTTTTCCCAGCTAGCATTGTTTCTTGATGATGAACTTTTGCAATAATTTTTTGATTGACCTCTATTCAGTTTTTCACTGTAGAAAATACACTAAATGCCCTACAAAGTACAGTCTTATTTGACTGAGTGTATATCAAGAAATTATTAAATGGTCACTGGGATAGAAAACATAAATATGAGAAGGCAGACGTAACACTTTTCAGTGTGTTTATATTATAAAGGGAGTTAAAATAACTTTTTAGGGTGAGTATGTCCAGAATTAAACTTGTTTTGGTTCCTAGATTTGATGATAGTTTCCTTCATGCCATCTAGTGATAAGTTCCTAAATTTATTTTACAATTACTGATTAAAAATAGTTTAAAGCTTATTAGCATATTAAAGCCTTTTAAAATAGCTTTTAAGCAAAAAAAAAAAAAGTTGTAAGCCAGTAATTGTCATGATATCTCTTCACCTGGAATTTTTTTTATGGTACCTGCTGTATAGACTTACATGGGCTGAGAGACAAGGAGAGATTTTTCAGATCGTAGATATTGATGAACTTCCAGTCTTAAACAAGTGCAAACATCTTAAACATTTATTTTTAAGGTATTGTTTTCAGCAGGACTGTTTGTTAAATTCCTGTTAATCATCATTCAGCTTACAGAGAAGATGAATACCTGATTTGAGAAGGCCTCTGAGTAAAGCTCCCCCAAACAGAAAAGGACACAGCACTTTGCATAAGAGCCCAAAATCAGAAGAAATCTGGAGTCTCGTGGTAACGAGTCAACTCAGAGAAAACTAAGTCTGCTGAAGATGTAAAGGCATTTCTCAAAGCATCAACAAAGCCAACCACTCTTTAATGCTATCCCAGTATCTCTCTGATTCCTTTGTGATTATTGAGGGAGCTTGTTAAAAAAGAGGCTAAATGGGGCAGCAAAGAAAAATGCATCCCTACAGATGGCATGTATACCACTAGAAGTTAGAAGCATAAGATAGGTGAAGTATTGTCTAAAAGAAAAAGAAAATATTACAAAGTTTGATAGATTAAGTGCAAAAACAGTAATAAGATGAGACGAAGTTTAAGAAACACTAAATATAAATTCATCAAACACATGAAAGAAGACAGCCAGGTAGAGTCCATAGGGTCATGTGATGGTTAGAGTATAAGAGAATATGTAAAAAAATAGAAAAAAAGCAAAAACTAAAGTATTAGGAGAGAAGGTAGATTAGTTTGTGAGTTTACTGTGAAAGAAGCTATCCAAAGTTTACTGTGAAAGAAGTATCCAAGCAACAGCCTTTTTTTCTGGACAATCTGTCCAAAATGGAACTACCAGTCAAAGAAGTTATGGGACAAGACAATTAGGTGATTGAAGTGTTATCAACCATCAATATCCAAGTGCATTTCACCCAGGCTCTACCAACTTGCTCTATTCTTGTATTTTCCCTAGCTGTTAAATAGCTGGTCTGAGATTCAGTTGAAAGTTTCAGGGTTATTTTATCTCAGTGTATTCATCCATGCTTAAACTAAATGGTCTGGTGCACCCTTTCTTTTATGTTTTGTCTGTGTTACAACTTACAGATGCAAGAAGTCTCGGCTCAGACTTAACAGTTTTATCTTGTTTATTTGCCTCATTTGGTGTAACCATCTGTGTCCAAGGTCTGTCATATTCTTTGTTGCTGTTCTGCTGGGAATATGGAACGGTTTCTTCTATCGAGCAAAAAGCAAATCAAAAATAGCTCTCCATATTCTCTTATCGTTTTGTTCTGTCAGGGGATTTTCAGTCATTTCTCTCATGTCTAGGTCCTTGAATATTTGTAGGTATATTTTGTCTTCATTTTATTCTATCAAAAAATTCTGTCAAAAAATTTCTTCCTTCTGCGTTTTAGTCACATTTGGTCTACATCATTTTATTGTTGACATTTCTGACCCACATACAGTATACGTGTAGCAAAATTATATTTTCTTTGATCTCTTAAACATTATTTGCTCTTTCATATTTGTGGAATGATTTTTTTAAGCTAACTGTGGATTTCTATGTGCTTTGCTTAATAATCTACAAAACCTTTCCTTTTTAGAAGCCATAGACAACAATAATACTAATTTACCTCATTATTAATTTTTTATTCTTTCTAAAAAATTACATATAACGATGCGATACAGTTGCTAAAGAGGAAAACAAAACAAAACAAAACAAAAAGAAACTAATAAAAAATCCTCCCATATCTTCCGTAAATAAACACTGATATAATCCTATTCCCCAAGAGACTTCATATGATTCTGAAATATGAATAGTTTATACCATAATATGACCACTGAAAGTTGTGATGAGAGTTATAAAATAATGATAGAATTATGACAGTCATGCCTGAATATTTGTTTTATTTATTCTGTGTATGTGATTGATAAATTATTGATTAAAAATCTTTAAATAATTTTCTTAATGTCTTCCATTAAAAGCCTCTTATAATTGCAGGATTTGAAAATATAATTTTATGATTTTATGAGGATTTCTTATAAAATGAAGAAGAGGAAAACCTGATGTATGGAAGAAATTCTTTACTGTGAGGGTGATGAGGCACTGAAACAGGTTGTCCAGAGAAGTTGTGGATGTCCCATCCACAAAAGTGTTCAAGGTCAGGTTGGATGGGGCTTGAGCAACCTGGTCTAGTGGAAGGTCTCTTTCAACTCAAACCATTCTATAATTCTATGTTTTTTCATTATAACATAATCATTATTTTTCAATTTATATTCATTCATACATGACACCCTTCCACTCCTTTCTTTCCTTTGTTTGGAATATACATATTTTCTAAAATACCACTGCTCTTTGAAGTGAAGAATTGAAGAATGCACCTCAATATGTTTTTCAGATCTTTTTCACTGCAGAGTTTTTGATTCAGGGATTACCAATATCACAGTGTTTCAGTAGTGCCTGATGCTTAACTTAATTCCTATTACAAATAGAGGAAGGGTTTTGTTGTCATTAGCATACTTGCTGACATTCAGGAAATCAGGTGTTTGATTTCTAGTTCCATTATCAGTTCCCTAAAAGATCTTGTAGAATGTTTGTTACTGCTTTCTGTACCCTATGCTCTTGCTCTGTAGCATGAGGATTGTGAGGCCTGTTCTCAGCACTTTTTCACCTCCTCTGAGTGCTTTGGCTGCAGCACCTTAAGAGACAAGGAGTTGTTTTCTTGAACACATTGCAGATAACGTTGGCTTGGTTGCTCCTGTGCGACTGTGGTTTTACTCAGCTGTTATTAAACAAATACCTCATCTCTGGTATGAAGCCATACTCTGCCTCTCCATGCCCCTTTCTTGGATGTATTTCTAGAATATTGTTGAAGTATTAAAACATTTTATTTTCATTTTCATACTGGAAAAACTTGTTTGGTAATGTCAGATAGAGAAATAAAATGTCTCTTCATTTCAGCTGCTGTATGTGACTTTGAAAGAGAGAGCTGTGGCTGGGTTGAAACTGTAAACACAGATGAATTTGATTGGGTGAGAAGTTCCAGTAGTGCTCTTCCACCTGTGTTTCAGAAGCAAGCTCCTCCACGGGATCACACCTACAACAAGTCTGAAGGTAAGAAAAGCCAGGCCTAGAAAACAGAGAAATGGAATGGGTAAACCTCTTCTGTAACCAGATTTTAAGTGGAAACCATGAATGTTTTAAAAGCTTTTAGAAACCCTTTATTTCTTCAGCCTCAAAAGGTGTTTTCTGTTTTATTTTACTAGGTCATTTTATGTTCATTCTGAAGAACAGCACCAGCATTTCACAAATAGCTCGGCTACGAAGCCCAAAGTTCAGGCAAACTGGAGCAAATTGCACACTGTCCTTTTGGTATGAAATAATTTAGATATAAAATTCCTGGATCATCTTACATTTCTTCTCTTGAACTGAAATTGAGGTTATAGTTTGCAATAGATGCACCTTCCTCTGAAGTATTTGTTTCATTTTATTCTATAGTCATATAGATGCAGACATAAGCAGAAGCACTTGGAGAACAGAATTGAAACAAGAGATGACTTTATTGTCAGGCTCTTGGCAAAGTTATAGTAAAGGCTCATGTCTGCATATACATGGACAAATACCACAGTCTTTTTGCTAATAATTCTTTGGTAAATAAATTTGAACATGTGAAATTTTATTCAAGAACAGGAAAGGACTGAAAAATCTAGTAGGTCCTTGAGTCACCTGCAGTATCCAAAATTAGATTTCATCATCTTTAAGCAAAAGCTCCAGCATGAGAATAGGTGTTTGGCTTTCAATTTTTTTTTTTTATATACACAGATAAAAAAAAACCCAAACAAAACCCCCCAAAACTCATTAAAAAAAAATCAACAACCAAACCCAAAGAAACACTTTCAATTATTGTCTTGTTTCAGACTTTTTGCAATCTTTTCAAAGATAGGCAGAAAAATTTGTGATGATTTGTTTACTAAGGTCAAATTGATACTACTGTTTAAATAAATGTTTGACCTGACCTTGATGTTATTAAGTACGGTTTGTCTCAGTAGTATCAAATACTTCTGCCACAGGAAGAGGAAATGTCTTTTTGTTCAAGGTTCATGACTTGAAGTTGGAGTATAGGTTTGGAAATTTCAAGTTGTTGGTTGTATTTCTGATTCTGCTTCCAGTTTTGTACAATTGCCAGTCTAAGTATTTATTTTTTTAAATGCTTTGAGATCCTCCAAAAATGCTGTAAAAGGCAACATGTTAACCATAAGTAATATAGATACAAGGTATACTTCTGCATTCAGTAAGTATTCTGCTTTTCCTTTTTGAAAATTTACAATTATGTACTGAATTAAATTTATAAAAAAAATGTTATGCATCTGAGTGTTTGTTGTTTAATATGAAAGCAAATGTGTCTCTTCACTTATGGGGTTTAATTTAATGAAGCATATTTCTCCTTTCAAAATCTTCAGTTCTTGAAATGAGGCCCAGACTGATATAGCAGCCTATCCTACCATCATTCAGAAAATGCATTGAATTACAAGTAAACTTGTAATAGGCACTAGGGACTTCCCATGTGTCATAGAGATATAACAGAAAATATACTGTATCTACTTTACCTGAAGTGGTCCATTTTCATAATTTGCCCATTTAACATTCTTTTTTTATCGTTTTAGGTATTACAACTATGGACAGTCAGTTGGGGCAGCAGAGCTCCAATTGCTTGTAGATGGACTGAAACCTACTGTCCTTTGGAGGACATATTACAACGAGGGAAGTCAATGGTTGAAGGCAGTCATTCAGCTTGGACGACTTCCACATGCTTTCCAATTTTCACTTGATAAAATCAGTCTGGGTTTTTATGACGGTGTCTCAGCAATTGATGATATTAGGTTTGAAAACTGTGCTCTCTCACCTCCAGCACTAAGCTGTGAAGGTCCAAATCACTTCTGGTGCAGAGACACAAAAGCATGCATTGACAGTTTGTTGGTCTGTGATCTTGTGGATGACTGTGGGGATGGATCAGATGAAGACGACTGTAGTAAGTACTTTCCATTACTGCTTACTTTACATCACACAAAAATTTACTTACCAGTTCAACCCTTGAGTGAAAAAACACAGAATTGTTAGAACCTGTCAATGTCATAGCCAGTGATGATTCCACTGAATATAGTTATTGATTAAACAGAATGATAATTTTAAACCTAAATGCGTATGAAGAGTTACAACTGAGGGTAAATGCGATTCAATCTCCTTCATCCAAACCAGTTATATTTCTTTAACTCATGTAAAACACAAACACACACTACAAAGTTATTTTAAAAGACAGGATTTGCAGTCTGCCACTTGATTTAGGTCAACATGCTATCTTTGATTATACTGATGGAAGTACAGTGTAAGACATACTGATGGACTGAGAGGAGTGTATGTCCTATCTTTTCTTATGACCTATACTGTTACTATCAAAGAAGTGCTTAAATATCTGTACTAAAGATAGCAGTCATGCTGGACATAATTATCCCTTTCAAGGAAAGAACTTGTAAGTACCAAAGAAAGCCATGAGTCATTCACATTTTTGACACTCACCTTCCAGTGCTGAAGGGTGCTGTTGATGGTTTTCTCCCTGAAGCATGCATTCATCAATTTTAAGAACTCAAGAACTTTAATATAAAATAAAATTAACTAGCAGTTGCTTTATCACATCCTAAGGTAACTAAATTATGCAAATCACAATCAGTTTGAGAAACGTGAGATACCTTACGTGCTTGAGGGGTTATCAGTCTGCAGTGATATTTGCCAACTATTAAATTAAAACTGCCCTGAATTCAAAAGAAAGTGAAGGCTTTCCTATCTCAGTTTTCCCCCTTGTGTAATGTCTGTCTTCTTTATAACCCATTTTGAGGTCCACAGTAAGATACGAGTTGCAGTTTTAAGCATCATTAAAGATAACAGCTTAATTAAAAAAAAAAAAAAAAAAGAATTGGCTATAGTTTCAGTTACTGTTTCTGAAGAGCACATGCAAAGTTGGAGTGCAAGTTCACCACCCCTAACACATTTTATTGTTTTACATTAGAAGTAATTGCGCTGATCAATATTTTGCTTTGGTGTCAAATAAAAAAGTGCAGTTGTTTTATAAAGGCCTCTCTTGAATTTAGCTTTGATAACGCTATTGTGCTACTATTATTGAGGATAATAAAGATCTAAACCACAACAACCCATTTTTAGGACTACATCTGTCATGCAAAAATATATCAGATCACTTATTACACATACCTACAAGACCGTATCCTGTGGTTTATTTCATTCAATTAACCTCAGTTTTAACTCCTTTACTCACTTCAGTTTCAGTTAAAGAACTTTGCATTATTTAATTGTAATAATACATGAAATTAATAGCATGGATAATACAATGTTTTTCACAGTTCAGTTTATTCAATAAATTATGTAAAGTTTGACAGATATGTATTGAAAGAAAAGGTAATTCCTTCATGTACAGACAAATGTATATTTTATCCTTCAGACAAGAATGTTTTCAAAGAGAAGATATGGGCTTTTTCTATAAATTTGAAAGGGTTTTTTGCAAAGATAAAAAGTATATTAATTAATGCATTATCCCCCTTGATTTTTGGGGTCTTTTTACAATCTGTTCTGTTTACATTTCAGATCCTGACCTACAGTGTAACTTTGAAAATGGGCTGTGCAATTGGGAGCAGAGTGTAAAGGATGACTTTGACTGGATCAGAATACAAGGTCCAACCCCCACGGTTAATACAGGTCCTTTAAAGGATCACACAACAGGCACAGTCAGGGGACACTACATTTACATGGAATCCTCTGGGCCACGCCAATTCCAAGATAAAGCAATTTTGCTTAGTCCTCTCTTCAACCCTTCTGACAATGGAACCTGTGTTTTCCGCTTTCATTATCACATGTTTGGAAAACAAGTTTACAAGCTGTCAGTCTTCCAAAGAACTATGAGTAATACTAGGGGATGGCCATTGTGGTACAAGTTTGGAAATCAAGAAAATAGATGGATCAGACAAACACTCCACATCAGGAGTTCTAAACCATTTCAGGTATGATGATTCTAGGTTGTGAAGTGCTTATTTGCTACATAGTAAAACACTGAGAGTATATGAATGAATGGGCAATCTCAAAGCTATTTGTAACTGATCAATTTTTTTTTTTTGCTTTGAAATACAATTGTAGGGTTTTTTGAGGAAATACGTAAAATAATTTTGTTGGTGGTGTTGCATTAACTTTCCCCCCTAAAGCACTTAATTGTAATGTTTTGAACAGGAATATGTGTTATTTAAAGTAGATAGTATTTTTGTTTTTCAAGTATCTCAGGAAAAAAGTTTATCAAAATCTAATACAAAACATCTTGGCAAAAATTTTGATTCATTAATGTAAAGACTGTTAAAAGGAATATCCTCTGCTCTGTCTTACTTTTCCAGAGTTAAAAATTAATCTTTAATTATATAATGCCAGAAAAGATATCATTCAAAATTGGCTGCTAAGCTAGACTAACAATCAAATATAATTTGGAGAAAAATATGATTAGAGTAAGTTCATTCTATAAATCTTTACTTATTGTCTCACCTTTTAAATATTTTAAATATTATTTACCTTTCACTATATATGATCTGTTTAGTTTGGTTGGGATATTCTGCAGGGTTACTAGAGGATTAGTTCACCTGATTGTCAACTGGTCACAGAATTACTTAACACCCCCCACCCCACCCCACCTTCCCCGTATTGTAGAAATAAACATCTTCCATTTTCCGAGTCTTTTTGTAGGAATGTAAAGGTGTATAAACATAATGGTAACAAAACCCATTCCTTCCTTCCTTCCTTCCTTCCCATGTTTGACTTCCTGAGGGTTAGGAAGGTCTATTCAGTAACCGAAAATATTTTTCATGATTTAGAGATGTAGGGGTTTCTGTTGTACTTGCCCAGTTCCACACAGGGAATTTCAAAGATCTTGTATTCTTTTGATGTAGTTTTTTTTTTTCACAGTCATTTTTGAGGGGTGTAAGATTTGATAGTTTGTTCTGAAGAAAGAGATAAAGATTTGATGTTCATAATTGTATATTGTGTATCTTATAATGGAGCTTGCTGTGTCACAACCTACGACCCTTCAAAACTCAGAAATGTTGGAAAGTAAACTGTGCTCTATTTCTACTAAGCTGACAGGTGCTGATGTCTTTCCAATCTTTCTTTTCTCTTTCCAATCTTTCTTTTAAGTGTATTGTGTTTGGATACTTCCAGAGATAAAGACATATGGTGGAAAGATCTTCACACTGTTACTACTTTTTCTCTGATATATTTCTACTGAGATGTAGACTAGAATAGCTTCTCAATTAGTTTTGGGGTGTCTACTGGCTGGGTAACACTTTTAAAGCTGTAGATTCTATACTTACTCTGTTGTATTCCCCATACCTTATAAAGTTATTGGTTCACTGCTTTCACACCACAGGCTTTAAGTCTTGAGGATCACCTCAGTACTTCAAAGGAAATGTTTAGGTTCACTTGAGAATGGAATTTTTTCATGAAATTCTAAAAATAAGATAGAAATTTTTAATAATTTTCTGGTCAAAATACATGTCTTGGTTTCATAATCTCTGTTTCTAGCCAGAGTGTCTCATCAGCTGTTTCAGGATTTTCAGAGATTCCTAGTGAATAGAGAATGTCAGATTCTAGGAACAAAGATGGTCTAAGTCATTGTAACAGACCTTCATTTTTTCTTTTTCTCTTCTAAATATACGGGATAATCATACATGTGAGATACCTCTTCTTCCTCTTTCCTCCCTTTGTAAGTAGGTCGTTTGTTTACCACATTCCAAGAAAGAATCACTATGAATAGTAAATCCCTCAAATTCACATTTTCAGTTTATTTTGCGAAGCATAGTAAGCCAGCTTTGGGAGTATATAGATAATTGTACCTACGTACTAACTGCTAGGAAAAGGAGGAGTTGTCAGCCCAAAATTCAAAGCAGCAAAGAAAGGCACTTGAAAATCTCTTAAAAGCCAGATTCTCTTTTGAAAGTTTCAAAACTTTAGATATGATACTGCAGGCCCTTTAATTGAATCCTCTGGCAGAAACCCAAAGGGAACAGCACATGCAGACTCCCTTGGCTCACACCAGCTCTCAGTAAGCCTCAGAATCTTAATTTTGTCAAGAAACCTTTGTTCTAGCTGCCAGTAAACCATGGCTGACATTTGTTGCTGTTCTGTCAGATATTTTACGGTAGAGTGTAAAATGTGACATCAATAAGTGGAACAGGAGTAGCTGGATGAGCAAAAGGTAAATTTAGAGCTAAATTATTTAAATGAAAGAGATGAAGTTTTCCAAGCCAAAATTAAGCACCTCCATCAAATACTAATACTGACAAGTAACAAAAATGGTCCAAAATATACGTACTTATAAAAATTTTGGAACTTTATTGATCTAGAGTTTTCCTTCCTCTACAAAGGATTTAATAATCTGCAAGAATTATACTTTTTTTTTTATTGGGAAAATTCAAGTTTAAGAGAGATTCCTTATGAGCTATTCCTTTTTATTGTATGGGATTCTTGTTTCAACATGGAAAAACCCCACTGTTGAGTGTCCTTGTCTCTGTACTTGATCTGCATTTATTTCCGTCTCCCTGAGAACTTTACTTACATGTCTTTTCCTTAAAAGACCATTTGAAAATGTAGTAAAATAAGAATCGGTCTATGGTCACCTACTTATATTGATGATTAATAGTGTTCACTTTTATCTTAGCATAATCATAATAGCTGAAACAGTTTCAGAAGAAAGTGCAAATATTCTGTTTTAACATCTTAGATAAACATTTCTCTCTTAGCTTGCTCTATCATTCATGTTTCTATGGATACAAAAAAAGAAAATTATAATATGTGAACAATGGCAAAATTTTGTATCTCAATCCTTTTAGTCATGATAAAAATTACATACCTACTCTGTCTGTCTTAAGAGACCCAGGGCAACTTTACAGCATTGTGAAACAAATTATTAAAAGAATTAGTAAGTACCTTTAGCCTGATGAAATTGTTCACTTGTTGCTCATCTGCAATCTATATCTTTATCTCTGTAAATAAAAATTATTATAGATCTTAGATACTTCAAAACATAAGTAATGCATAAGGGAGTCTGACATTCTCTGATGATTTTATAAAGATCAGTTTTTTCTGTTGGCTCTTATGAAATTTAAAAATGCAAATACACTATTTAAGTACATGATTAACTGTTAATGTTATATTTAGCATCATTACTAAAATTTTTTTTATTCTGAGTATCATATATAACAACTTACTTGTACTTTCAAATGTAGAAGTTCCTCCATTTAAGTGTGGAAAATAAGGAGCAAAATCAGGAGAAAATAAATAATGAGCATTCATTGAAAAATACTAACTTGTAAAAGTTGATAAGTAAAATAAACTTTCAAATAAGTAGATATAAAATGTATTTTGTATTTTCTTATTTTACAAGTGGTTAAGAAAAGTAAACAACAAAATTCACTGTAACAATTTTATTCTTTTTATCAATTATGTATTAGCTTAGGAAGTAATGGAATATTGATTGAAAATTAGAATGATACATTTACTATGAATATAGAATAGCACTGTGTTCTGTGAACAGAAATACAAACAAACTTTCTCCATCTGCTATTTTTAGCATCTGTTATGCATTTCTTTTTTTTTTTTTTGTTATATCCAGGTACTTCTTGTATTATGGTTTTTGGTATACCTTAGACATATCAGTTTAGTGTTAAACACGTATGTGGTGAATGCACATCATTTGCATTCAGGCTCTTGCCGTTCATTTAAAATGAGAGACAGAAAGGTCTAAAAATTGTGTATAAGTTACTACCAGCTATATAGTTACGATCACATAGGCAGTTTTATTTTTCATTCTCTGGTCCCTTTCTTTTCATTCCTCAGTGGGATGAGATAGAGATTATTCCTTGGGGATTCTGACGATTTGCTATGTAATAAGTGAAACAGCATCACAAAACTCACCCTTCAGTTATTTCTGCAATTCTAGCTGTTTCTGGAAATTACTTTTCTGATAAGAGACAGGATTGACTAACCCCTCCACTCCACTAGCCATTTCTGTAATGAAAAACTCAGAATTCTAGTGGTAAATGGAATTTTTGGTACAATTCTACTTTACAAACTATTTTTAAATGGGTTTAAGTTCTGTGTCAAACAAAAAGAGTCTGTTGTGGCAATTTGTGAGATTTCAAAATGTAATGTTTTTCTTTCATACATTTCTAATGGTGATAATTATATTTCATACAAGAATAGTACAGGAGGACTTGTTATAGTAGACCAAATGCCCTTTGTACCAATTTAAGATAATGACTTGCTAGTCTTCCTCATTAGCTATAATACCTTTGAAGCAAGAAAATTCAACATCTCATTTCCTACACAACAAACATCAGAACTATGGAAATTATAGGTTCTAGATCTTGTATCACATTTCACAGCCCCTCACAGAGAAATTTTTAATGGGGCTTTGTGGCATCAGTACCTTTGTAGATTGATTAACTGTGTGAATTTTTCAGTCATCTCTAATCAATAATGGATAAGCATCAGATTGAAATTCTGGACTTACATTGGTGTGCTCCAGAAGATGGGGCTGACCAAACTTAACCAAATTTCTTGCACACAACTTCTCTGTAAAGAGTGCACATAACTCTTTTTTTGTCCCAAGGAGAAGTATTCTTTCCTGTGTGGAAAGTAACGTGAGGAGACCATGGTTCAGTCTGTTAGAGTTGCATATCAGCACACACAGCTAGGACTTATCTTTACTACTCACAGTGTGGTTAGAAGGAAACTTGTTATGTAGAATTTATGTTCTTTCTTATATATATACTAAAAACACAAAGTAATTGTGTATTTGCCTTTACATTTGTAACATTAAAATGGAAAAAAAAAAAGAAGTAGAAATGTTTGACCCTTTCTAGAACACTTAGGTAAACAGTGTTCCTTTTAGAAAGGGAGATGAATAGATATAAGGGAGAAACATCTAATCAATAGTGTCACAGAGAAGATGCATAAAGATCAG